AGAAAGAAGAACCGTGCAGGCCACTTGGTCAACTTCTGGCCTGCAGGAGTTCGTTGCTCACCTCCCACCTGCATGGTGATGATGATTCTAATTGTAAATGAAATTATTATTAGTTCATTTCTATATCACCCATAGCTGAAGCTCTCTGGGCAGTTTATCCTCACAATAAAGTACTTCTTCACGTAGCACAGAAGTTTGACAATGGATGCTTTGGCTGTAAGGCCAGACAGAAAGGATATGGATGGCCCGAAGGGGACAAAATGGACATTGTCACTGCCTGATGCAGGCTGCACAACATCTCTTGGCAGCAAATCCCATTTCAATCTCTCTATTTCATTGCTATACCACCCCACAGCCAAGGCTGAGGTGGCTTTAAAAGGGGGATGAGATAGGTTCACGGAGAAGATTTAAGGCTTGGTCCTCACCACGTCTAAACATCAAGATGTCCTGCAACTCCCTGCATGAATGTCAGAACACACGAAAAGCCCTGCTGGATCAGGCCCTGGGTCTGAGCAGCTCAGCATTCTGCACACACGGGGGCAAACCAGCTGCCCGCAGGATCCCTCCAGCCGGATGGGTGCAAGGCCTCCTCCTGCCCAAGCTCCTCAGCAGCTGCTTTGCACAGGCAGCCAGCATGGCTGGTTGCCATCGACAGCCTTCTCCTGCATGAGTTCATCCGCCCACCCACCCCGGTGGCTGGCATGGGGATGCTGGGACTTGCGCTGCAACACGTGTGGAAGGCCACCTGTCCAAACAGGCATGGTCCAACACTGCGAACAGAACCTTGGATACGATGGAGCTTTGTTCTCTTCTGCCTTCAGGACTCTTGTGAGGTCGCTTGAGTTAGGGTTATTCTGAAAGCAACGCCAGCCCCAGATTCGAGGGCAAGCTCAGCAACATGCCCACCTAAACTTGCGGGGCCTGAGGGCACACAGCAGCTGCAGTCGAATGAGCATCAAGTGACCCCACCCATCCCACCCCGTGTGGGTCTGAGAGCTGACAACCTAATTTTCATTGCTGGAAGGTTGCGGAAAATAAATGGCGGCAGGTTGGCCAGTGCAGACGTCAATGGCGGGTTCGGGGAGGGGACTGGGGTGAAGCCTGGCACCTAATGAAGAAAGCACGGCTGTCTCTGGGCCACTCAGGGATTTCCAGGACCCTTCAGGGAACTGAGCCTGTCCACAATAAAGGACGTTGTAGTCCAACACAACTGGATGACATTGTGTTGTGGAAGGATATGCCCATTATACCAGACAGACCCTCCAGTTGCCAAGGATGCAAGAGATGGGCTGAAGGAGCACAGACGCTCTTAGAGGAATCTTTGGCAGTAAAGCTACAGTCTCCTACTCATGGAGTAAGCCTCACGGAACTCTGTGGCCTTCTACACAGAGAGCATGCATGGAATTACGTGCAATTTTCAGAGTCCATTCTAGGGAGTGAATGGATTGACCTTAAAAAGGACTTCTAATTTGACATGCATAGGAAGGCACCATTGCGGCGATGGATTTCATTGACTAGGCAAAGAAGATCTGGGTGCAAAGAAGAAGAAATGAAGATGATTAAAGGCAGCTTAGGGTGCACTGCTATGTATGTTCGGTCAGAACAAAAATCACAATGCCCAATACACAGCATAAGAAGGCAGAATTCACTCAGGAAGGCAATCATGCTAGGAAAAGTCAAAAGCAGAAGAAAAGGAAGGCCAGCTATAGGATGGGTGGACTCCATGAAGAGCAGGGCATTTTGGAAGGCAGTCATTCCGAGATGCCGTGGTGACATGAACCACAGGACTCAATGGGAAGGTGTGGCAACAACATACCTGTGTAAGATGGTGCTGTTAACAGAGGTGCAGTCCCAAATTATCTCCATACGCCAGGTCATCATCTTGTTTTAGCGCTAGGTGGAGGAGGAGGAGGAGGAGGAGGAGGAGGAGGAGAATTACATTTCTGTATCGCCTATAGCCAAAACGCTCTGGGAGGTTCACAACATTTAAATCACGCATCCAGATTTCAGCCAGGCCTGACCTGACCCTGCTTAGCTTCCAAGGTTAAGCAGGGTCGGGCACTTCAGGCAATACAGCTAATAGAGCTAAAGGATAAGACCAGTGCAGCCCTCTCAAATCATATGCCCAAACAGTATGTTTTTATGGGCATTATGTAGCCCCACATAATTGGAGGGTACCAAGCAGAAAACTATTCATAGCTGTTTGTGCTGCAGCTCAAGGTCTGAGCAACACTCTGTTCGCTCATAAGGCAGCCTCACTTTCACGGAACAAGACAAAGGATCATCTGGGTGTGGGATAGGGGTTTTTTTTCACGATTTCATTTCTATGGCCAACATTAAATAACCTTTTGGCCTACTAAGATCTTCAAAAGGATGCACAGTTCAGAATATATTCCCAACAATCATAACAGATAAGACCAGAAGCAAGCGTTCTTGTTTGTAACCACAGGTGAACACAGTATGAAAACAAGGCTTCTAGTAATTCTCTGTTGGCACCCATGTCCACTGATGTAATTCTGCTGGGTAGATATGGAAGGAATCAACATAATTTAAGAGAGGTCTGGCTCAGTGAGGATAAGTGAATGGAAGTACAAAAGCCCACAGAGGGAATATACTGCTGAAAACCATTTTTAAAATTGTGATTAATGCGTTTGATGGTCCGTTTTGGAAATTGCACGAGACTGTGACACCATCAGTATTACAGATCTTGCCTTGTTACCTGCTGCCTTTGCCTACTGTATGCAATTTTCCCACCACTCTCTTGCTTTACATAATGTCTCTGTTTCTGTTTTAATGAAGCGGCGTGTACCTCTCCATTATATTGCACCTGAACACGTCTTGCAAGCACAGAGGTATTCCTTAGCTGCTCGGTAGTTCACCGGGGGAGAAAGAACTGAAAATAGACAAGGAGAAAATGACAGCTAGAGAAATCCTTTTTGGATGGCGTCTATGTCACCCTCCCAACATTAGTTTTCACCACAGCTGACAACACAACACGGTAAAACAGAATAACAAATAAAAATGGCTCCAAGATGCACCTGGAGAAGAGCGACTAATTTGAGGTATGCACCTCTCCCCAGCTGCAAACCGCCACACTTCAGACATCAGGGGGCACTTAGAGAAGGCAACTGGCTGATGAGCACCACTCATGGGCGGGTGGATGTGGGAGCAGCCATTCCTCCAGAGACGTGGCCCGTGGCTTGGCTCAAAAGGAACGCCTTCGCAGGGAAGCACCAGCCCCCGGAATTAAGTTCGGAGATGGGCCAGGAGTCAGCGGTCCTTTCAGTACCATTGAGACTGGCACACCATAACTGGTCCCAGTCAATACTCTAGAAGACCCAGCCTGTGCTGCCCGCAGTTTTCAGCATGACTTCAAGGTTACGGAAATGGTCGCACACAATCAGCCACATCCAAGAGACCTTGGAGTTATGCAGCTACCACACACTCAAGCGCCGCGGTCAGCGAGGGAGGTGGCGGTTATATTCTCGGGTGCACTGAGGCAGCACATTCTCACAACCGCTTCTTTCCGGGCAGCTGAGACCACATCCTCACAGAGCACACTATTATGAAGGATGTGGAACCGGAGGGATGGCCTGGGCAACCAAGTCCTGGAAGCCACAGCAGGGAAGTTCAGTCATGACAGCGAGGAGGTCCTTCAATGTCCCGGCTGTCAAGCAGCGGAGCTCTCGTGGCTTTTCCATCGTCCTCCCTGTGGGCTGAGCTAGCGCAAGCCCCGGCCCGCTTGGAAGGGCTCTGCTCATCGCACCCAGGGAGCATAGCGGTCCCAGTGGCTCATGCTTCTTCACCAGTGAGCTCTTACTGGTACTGGACTGCATTCCCCATGCTACCTTTGCCCTCTTCCCCAGTGCGGTTCTTTACGCCAGGCTCGCTTGTGAACCAGGTAGCCAACTGGCTTTGGCACAACAGCGTAGACCAAGAATGGCAGCGCTGGTCACACAAGCCGGCTCTATACCAGAGGCAGTGTGGCTTCATCAGGAGAATCATCCAGATTCCATTCGACCTGAGGGGTGGGCTATCCTAGGGGCTTAGGGTGAACCATCACTCTCTTAAGTTTACCATTGATCATACTTGTCCTTTAGGGATTGTACCGTAACACCATTTTTAAAAACATGCTGTCATCCAGATGGCGGCATTCTGGGCTAATCAACAGGCAGTTCATCGTGCTAGAAAGGACGCTTTTGTACAGCCTGAAGTGACTGATCCTGCTTTATCTTGGAAATTATGCCAGGTCAGGCCTGGTTAGAATCTGGATGGGAGACTTGAGTCCTGCATTGAGCAAGGGGGTTGGATCTGCTGGCTTTCTAGGCCTTGTCCAACTGTATAATTCTATGCAGTGCACCCTTCAGACGAATGAATGGGCCAGAAAGTAGCAATTCTGAGATCAGATATATTTAGAAGTACATATTATTTAAATCTGGATTTCTGTGAAGAATCATCCAGAAGGCCAATTCTATTCCATACAGCACTTGAATCTGCTATTTTAAACGTCTCACTTGCAAGTGATAGAAATTAATGGAACTCACTTCCTTTTAATGCATGTAGCATTGCTGGCATCTATATGGGAAAATTCCATTGCTTAAGCCCCGTTCTATATAAGACTATTTGCATACAGCAAAGTAACAGTAGCCGTTCCCATGCAGCAGGATAAACTCTTCAACTGCACCAAGCAGCTCTTGTTAATCCACTGTGGGCAAGAATCTGTTGCTTTAAGAAAGAGATGCCTGGAGGTGCATGCCGGCTCGCCTGCAGCCCGACCACACGGCTAAGCTGTGTCTCACTGCCGATGGCGCCAGCTTAATCAGCTCCACGGCATTGAGTTGCTATGTTTGGAAAGCCTTAAACTGAAGAGCAAAAGTGAGTTAAATGGGCCAACAGCTTCCTTTTGCTTAAGAGCGGAAAATAGCAACATACGCGATTTCAGCAGGTAAACGCCAAAGCCAAAACCGGGAGAAATTTTACAAGTTAGCAACACACACGAGAAAGAGTAATATTTTATTATGAAAAAGTACCAAATCTTAAACAAATTAAAATATGGCTTCTGATCTCATGCATAGCACAGTTATCCCAATGTCCTCCATCCTCCGTCAGAAACATGAATGGCTCTTACACGTGTTTGTAAGAGTGCACCTTATTTTCCTCAAACTTACATTCTTACAGGGTGTGAGTTTATTTCCACTGTCATGGCACACGTAGACCTTTACTTCTTAAAAACTGTGTAGAATCAATGTTAATACAACTGTAATTAACTAGCTGCATTGAAAGCTAAAGTTTGGTATTTTCTCCCACATATCTTACAGTTTACAGAGATATTTAAGATGCTCTTTTGCTTCAATATAACTTGGGTGTTGTATGTTTCAGTGCTAAGAGGCAATGAAGATATGGAAGGGTCTTAAGAGTGAAGATTTATATCTGGTAGAGGTTTACAAAATTATAAATGGTGCAGAATGAGTGCAGAGGGAAATTCTTTCCATCTCTCAAAATACTGGGACACAGGACCACGGATCAGCAGTAAAAGAATGAACCAAAAAGATAAGAAAATTCATATAGCACACGATTACATTTATGGAATTTGGTTTCACAATATGTGGAACTGTCCACTGGTTTAACAGGCATCAAAGACACACTCAGATTAGACATACTCATGTAGAACAAGTCTCCCAGGGGGTAACAGCCAGGACTAATCAGAAATTCCAAATGCAAAAAAAATATAACTTCTTGCACAAAAGACAGGAAAGAGGGGAGAACTGTGGCCTTCATGCCTTGTTTGTGAGCTTTCCAGAGAGTTTGTCAGACTGTAGTTGGAAACAGAATACTGTACTAAAACTTTTGTCTAATCCATCAAGGAAATAAGGCTTCTGCATTTGTAGACAAATTACAGAAGAAAAACTGTTGGCTCTTGCAGCTCCAGACTGAAATGTAGCACTTTAGGGAGCTGGACTACTATGATCTCCTGACATCTCTCACACACAAGCTGGTCCCTGTAAGAATCCATGGAACAATAAGAAAATAATCCTTACACAATTCCCATCCAATAAAGCAAGTGAGTAGCTTACAAAAGGGTTACAAAAATTCTTTCTGAACAAGTCATTCATATGCAGGATTAGTGCAGAGTCTTTGAAATAAGGAAGCAGGGCCAGTATATGTATTCAGCAGCCAGGGCAACATGTCCATTAAGGTTCCAAACACATAGGATCAGATAATTACTGTACAAAATTACTACTGATGTGATGAGGAAATATAACAAGAAACAGTTGATGGTTTGCAAATCTGCCTGCTGCTGTTTGTTCTGTGGAAAATCCTATTGAAACTTTACAGGGCTCTAGATCCGCAATATAAGGTTGTGCTTTGCTGCAGGGGTCAAGCGCAACCCCTGCATCTCCACTGAAGGTTAAGAAAGATTCTTGCCTGAAATCCTGGAGTACTGCTGCCAGCCAGTGCTAACAGCACTGGGCGAGATGTACTGATGGTCTGATTCAGTATAAAGCAGCTGCCTTTGTTCCTACTGGCCAGATTCCAAAGGTGTAGAGAAAGATCTGTGCCAAACTTCAGAACAAGGCAGAAGCATTTTCTTTTTCTTGTAAACCAAGACTTACCTAGTTGTATCGGTTTATCTCTTTATCTTATCTGTTGTCTCTCATTGAACTGCAAGGCAGACTGAGTGCTATTTTTTTCAGAATCTTGTACAAAATCCACAGCTTCTAAAAATATCAAGAATTTCCAAAGTTATCAGGAACAGAAACCCATTTCTTTGTTCTGTGAAGAGAGCTGATTGAAATTGCCAACTAATTGCAAGCAACTTAAATTGAAGGTATTCTTGACTCTCTATGAAATTGTACATGAAACTGTACATGGAATGGGCTTCCACGGGAGGTGGTTGAGGCCCCATCGTGAGGGTGTTCAAGGATAGGCTGGACATGCACATGGTGGGCATGTCGTGAGCGGAGCCAGCGGGAGCCAGGAGTCAGACTAGATGGCCCGGGAGGCCCCTTCTGACTCGCTCTGTTTCTGTGTGTCCAATACAGGTGAATTGTATTTGCATTCACAATGACAATGGTATTTTAGAAAGATTATCCATGACTATTATGCTATACACAGTGTTCAGACAGTCATTTCAGTAAAATACAAAACTGATTAAAAAGCACTCCCAGAATTTTTGTAAAAAGCATTTCCATGCATCTAGGTTTGAGCACTCTTACTGCCTGGATCACTGCAAACACCCCGGCTGGTCCAGGGGGCACCACTGGTGCCAGACTAATAGCCCCCTGAAGATCCCAAAACGTCTCAGGGATTCCAATCGTTTGGTCTCTCCACGCCCACCAGGGGAAATGTGCATTGCAAGCATTTTGCAGGTCATGAACTGAGGCACGTGAGGCAAAAGTCAGTCAGTCGATTGCACAGTTTAGAGTGACTCTTCCAGTTGCCAGCAGTGAATTGAGCACTCCTGGTCACCTGTTGTGCTTTCATAAGAATTAGAATACTGTGCATTAAACAAGCAGCAAATGAGTCACCACTTCCAGGGGAGGTGGCGGGCAGCACAAGAGGGGAGGGGAGATACTGCAGTGGCAACTGGAGGGGATTGGCTGATTCATCCACAGCAATGAGAGGGGAAAGTTCACCTCAAAGTTGTTGTCTTCTCCTTTCAGGCCACATATACAAGAAACGGCACCAAGCAGAATTTGCCAAATTTGCCATCACATCCGCCAAAATACACACAATGCTTGCTTTTGGCAGCATCTGGCATATATCCAAATTGAGCATCAGGAGTATTATCTTCTCCAGAGGGCTATAATTCATCTCGCAGCTTGGGGGGATGGTCCATGCCAAAAAAGGAGGAAGGTCTTCCGTGCACATCACGCTCCCGTTTCACAAAGGCAGTAAAGGATGAAACACAGTTTCCAATGAAATGGTCAGACTGGCCAAGAATGTACAGATCTATCTGGGCCACTTCAGGTTGCAAAAATACCACCTTTATCTGAAAAACAGGTAGAGCAGAGTTATTTATGCTGCTACTGAACAGAAGGGATTACCCCTTGGCAGTAGATGTGGGGTTTGCAAGAAGCTGTCTACCTATTCAACTTATCTCTTTATCTCTGTTTTAACTTGTTCAAACATCTTCCTGGAATTTAGAATTCCTCCAAGCGGAAGATATCCATTAACACAGAACACCATTTTTAAACTCGATCTCCTCTCCTCTCCTCTTTCCTTGCATAACCTGCCATGCAAGAGCGCATCAGAAGACCTTTGAATCAGGACTCAGCTACATCTACTGCAGCTGAACCATGTGCTCTGATCAAAACAACTGAGGCATTAGGTGAACCGAAAAGGGGAAGTATTACTAGCTTGCACATTCTGTGAAGTTGCCTCCAGTGCGAGGGCTGGGAGGGAAAAGCCAGGCCTGTAAAGCAGCTGCACAGTGTACGACAGAGTTGCTCCTTCCCTCACGGCAGGCAACTCCAGCTGCGTCACACAGGCAGCGTATCGTGCGAGGATACCATGAGCGCCTCCAGGCCAGTGATCGTGAACACGGAGGACGTTCTCTACACGTGGAAGGCCAACAGCAAGGATCAGCCCTGCACAGCAATGCCTCGAAGCAATGTGAACCCAACCCGGAGAGGGATCTGCAACCCACGCAATAATTCTACGTTTCCTTCGCCACACACTGTCAGTTTAGAGCTGTGTCACAGTGTAAAAGGGATTTCAGTTAGTTCGACATGCAGTGAGTTAGGTTGCGCCTCAGTGATTCCCTTGGGAGAGGAAGCGCTTACTGTCTTCCAGTCAAAAATAATCTCACAAAATGCAAAGGCTCCAAAATACAAGGTCAATTCAGCTCATCAGAGCACTTTGGCCAACATCAGGGAAGGCTCAGTTATGTCTCAGCTGCAGGCAAATCCTGCACCCCCCAGCATTAGTTGTACCTGGAATCATTTTTGACCCCTGACAAAAGTGCCACAGGCAATGAAAATGTTATACATGAAAAGCCTTGCTGCTGGCTGACCAGCCTCCTCAGGCCATGGGAGGCTTCAATCAACGTAAGAACAGCTCTCAGCAAGTAGCAAGTACAGGTAATTTAAAATTTAGTCCTTTCTGAGGGTATGCAAAACAATAAAACGACGTAACAATTCTTGGTCTATTGTCCTTTTCTTGACTTACTAATTTAAGATATCATAGCAAAATTTTCCCTCAGTGAGTTTTAATTGTTTGCTGGAGGTTTTAGCGCAGAAATTTAGTTTTAAAAACAAACCAGGATGATCCGCATTGAATCTTCTTTTGTTTAGGGCTATATGCTTGGGGTAGAAAAGTACACTATAGAACTAGTTCTATTCTGGGTCTTGGTTTATTGAGGAAACAAGTTAAAGGAAGGAGGCTGGGGACTTTCCACAATAGGCTACACCAGTGTCTAGAAGGGCAAATCTGCCAGACTGCTTATAAATAAATTACAGTACAAAATGTACGCTAGGCATATGCCAGTTATCTCATCATGTGGAATGATAATTAATAGGCCTCCTTATATGTACTGTGACAGAATTCTTTGAAATAAAGTTGCATTTATGTGATTTATAGGTGACAAACCATTTTCTCAACATATTCAAGTATCTGAAGATTGTAAGAAACAATGAAATAATCCCTGGATGATGAACTGCCCTACCATACGAGAGCAAATTTTTCTTGAATTCTGCCAGGCCCTGCCTTCCCATGCAAGCAATCAGTGACGAAATAGCAAGCACTGGCATCTGTGTGACAAACGAGCACAGGAAGTTTCTGGGAGCAACTTCATGGTGTTCGCCATTATCTTTACGGCCAAGATACTTTTTCGCCTATGGGAGCCTCTCCATTTACTGCAATCAGCTGGAGAAGCCCTTTGCACGCCCCTCCATCGAATGAAGAATGGTGGGTGACTGGATGTTGAAAGGCCGACCCCAAGATGCTCATTCTGCACAATCTCAGACTTTCTGCCACTTAAGAAAAAGACATGTGCCTTCTTTCAGGTACGTAGTCCTTGACCTGCAATGGTTTAATTTTAATTCTACCACTGAAGGCACAATCCCATGGCCTCCTGATGTTCTTTGAGGGCCACTATTATTTGGAGTCCCAGATCCAAGATCCCGGAGCAGGAACTCTTTTGGCCAAGCTCCTGCCCTGTTGCCTTTGCAGCGGATTTGGAAAGAATTCCCTGAGGCTGCAAATCCACCTCAGGGGCATGTGATGGATCAGGAGGGGAGAAAGCTGCTCTGAGGACTTTTGTCGATTCCTTTCAGCATCCGAACTGCCCCCGCCCCCACAAGAGCTGGGCACAAGGCACAGCAGTGGCAGAAACTGCCGCCGCCATGCCTTGATGGGGGAGAGGATGTATGCAAACCACCGTGGGTAGGTGAGCAACAAGTCACCCTGAGCACTGTCCAAGTGGGAAGGCAGGACAGAACCTTTAAACAGACGGTTTTTGCACCAGTAAGAGCTGGCCGGTGCAGCCACAGGAGGACATTACCTTTTGTTTGAAGAGCTGCCGTATTTCTGTGGAATAGGATTCAGAATCGCTAGCGATGTACACGGCTTTTGCATCTGTCTTCTTCACCCAGAGCCGAAGGGCTCGCTTGATCTCCTTCAGGCCTGGCAAACACATGTCCATGGTGAGAGGTGCTGCTGTGTCTCGATCATAGCCCACGCACTGTGGGGAAGCCATTAAGTGGGAACCAGCTGTGCCATCCTTCAACATATTGCATGCATTTTTCTAACACAGGGAGGAAAACAAGCAGTGTCACGGGCAGGTAGACTTGAGGTACAACCATACGCTCTGCTGAAGTGCACCGCTAGCAGTTATTGCAAAGGAGTGGTGGCATCCTTTTTTCAAATGTAATGCTGGCAGGGAGCGATTTTCCTTGGGACCACACTGTTTAGAGAAGTGAGGTTTAACCTGTCCCCCTTAACAGCAGCAAGAGGGCAATTTGGAATAGTTGGCTAACACAGCCAGCAGACAGGGCTAGTATCCTACCGACTGCCAGTTAGCTCCAAGTACGCTCACAGCCCTGGACAATCTGATTTAACTATGGGCTACGGTTGTCAGTGGCCACTAGCCACAATGGCTATTTAGGACTTGAGGAGCAGAAGCAGCATGCCTGCAGATCACTAATCGCTGAGGAAAAACGGATTATCCAAGGGGGTGCTGACCTCAGGCCTTGCTGATCTGCTCCAACAAGGCTTTTCTTACATTCTTAACTAGGCTCAGCACGTCATGAGTGGAGCCGGGGTCAGACTAGATGGCCAAGGGACCCCCTTCTGACTCTCTCCGCTTATGTCTATGTTCTCGCTCCTCCGTTTCATTCATGTGGAGATGAGTGCTACCAAGCTTCATTTCAACACCGGCCACTCGCATGCCACCCACAGAAGTCTACATAAGAACCATACCCAGTCTGAACCCACACGCAAATGGATTCCCACGTAGGGTCTGGCCAGCAATGAATTAATGTAGGAGCTGCCCTTCTCCACCATCTCATCAGACCACACCATGTACCGATGCAGGGGCCGAGACTCTTCCAGAACCGGAAACTGGGCTGGGGCACCCGGAAGGGCGACAACCGGATGCTCTGTGGGCGAAAACCTAGGAAGAAATGCAGCAGGTGGGTCGGAAATGGGGGCGCGCCCTTTCAGCTGTTCAGGAGGACAGAACAGTTGCCTAAGCCTGGCAACCAGGAAGCCTGTCTGGCTGCCTAAGCCGAGGAAAGGTGAGAGGTCTGCAGGTAAGAGAGCAGACCTGTCCATCCCTCACCACCACCGTCAAGTCAGCAAAGCCATTACAGAAGAACAGCACATGGGGAGAACAACGCAGAGCAAGGACTGGCACAGTAATACGGCAGTCAGCACCACCTATGGAGCTTGTATCAGGGGTGACCTTGCAAAGCACCTTCGAGCTCCTGCTGCTGAGGGCAACAAGGCTGAGGGGCAGGAGGTCTGGGAAAGGGCCGGGCCCCCAGATGTTATTCGCCCTGTCACTGGCCCATGGAGCAGTTGCTTCAGGGCAGGCTGAGGGGACTCGGAGTACAGCCTCACTAAACCTCACTCGCTGAAAAGGAAATCAGACACCTCACCCACCCCGCCACAAAACAGGACACGCTGAGCCCAAAGCATCAGTGAAGGTGCCTGCACTGATCTTCTTTTACAAAATCTTCGTAGAAGAAGCGTCAGCATACCAAAAACTATTGCTCCAGTGCTGCTCTAGTTTCACTATTCGAAAATCATTACTATTTATGTACGTACTTATTAAATTTATATCCCAGCTTTTTCTTAAGAACTCAAACCAGCTTGTATCATTCTCCTCCTCCTGTTCGCAATCAATTCTCCTGTTAACAACAGCCCTGTGAGGTAGGCTGAGTCTGTGACTGGCCAAAGTCACCTAGCTGGCTCTGTGGCTGAGTGGGGACTAGAGCCCAGATCCCGAGGCCCATAACTGTGCTCTTAAGCACTAATGTTTGTTCTTAAGAGCAAACTATGTTTGTTCAAACTATGTTTGTACAAAAGCAAATTGTGGGTTAATTAACTGACAAGTTGTTCATTACTTGAATCTAAATCAAGTATTTGCTAATACATAAACTAAATGGGATTAATGCATCAGTTGCAGATGATTAATAACCTAAAAACTACTTACACTAATAGGCAACCTTTGCTCTTTCTTCCATCCTCAGTGGAATTAATCTTTTGCTGATGTATTTTTATATTCTTTGGTTTTGATTGTGCATTCCCTACCTATTATTGTTAGTAGCAGCCTTGGATGCTTGGATGTTGTGTCCCTCTTTCCAAAATTCTTTTATACACTACAGTGGCTACGGAGGAATCGGCCTAATATCCACCCACACTTCTCCCCCAGCGTTAATGCCAAGAGGCACTTGCTACCTTGCTGGGACACGCACACAGCGGGCATGTTGTGAGCAGAGCCGGCTGGAGCCGGGGGTCAGACTAGATGGCCCGGAAGGCCCCTTCTGATTTGCTCTGTCTCTATGTTTCTATGAATGGGCTTTCATGGGAGGTAGTTGAGGCCCCATCAGTGAGGGTGTTCAAGGATAGGCTGGATGTGCACACGGCAGGCATGTCGTGAGTGGAGCCGGTTGGAGCTAGGGGTCAGACTAGATGGCCTGGGAGGCCCCTTCCGACTCGTTTTGTCTCTATGTTTCTATGTTACCTCTGGATCCAGTGGTCCTTGTAAGAGGCACTGAAGGAGAGGCCTGCAAACAGCTCTGACCGATCAAATTCCACAGCAAACTGATCCCAAAAGGGCCCGAAGGGGTTTCCATCCTGCAAAAGAAAAGGCAGCTGCTCATTCACTGCAGTGGTAAAGATGGAGGTGGGGCAGAGGAGCAGGCAGCTCTGTGGTGCTGAGGAAGCTATAAGCTCCTTCCTGGTATGTCCCACAGCTCCCCACACCCAAGCTTGTACAGATGTTCTCCAGAAACATCCCAAGGTTTGAGAAAGTAGGTATAAAGGCAAATTCTGGAACAATCCACATAGTGTTAACTAAAACAAAGTGGCCTTAGACGTGGCAATGAACAGCAGAGCGAATGAGCTGAAAGCTTTCAGCACCCATGTAAGTCCAGGGTGATGCCTGGCACCCCAGGCGTGAGAAGGATCCCCACCTTCATAGGGCAAGTCTTCTTATCAACACTTCTCTGAGCGGCTGCTTCAAAGCAGTATGCCACTCTTTTGCCAGGCGGCCAAAACACAGGTGCCAGCTTCTCCATGAACTCCTCCAAAGTGATGACCCGGTGGTACTCCAGGAGAGGTGCCAGCTTGAAGTACTCTTTGTACGGAACGTGCAGCTGCAATGGAAAGGACACAGAGACTGAGCCACATTTCCACACACGCAGGATGAATGCGCAGTTGCTCAACAACAGTGAACCCATCAGACTGAGGGAACGCAGCCTCCTTTCCGACGAGAAAGGGACAGGGACTTTGGCCATTGGTCAAGCAAGCCCACCAAGGACAAACTGATGTCCTCTTGCATTCATCGTTACAGTACGAACTCCAACTTGCAACAGAGCCCCGGCACTGGCTCATGAAGACTGGGGAGGGGTCAGAGTAAAATAATAAAACAACAGCACACACGATTCGACTTGCACCCAATGACAGCTGCTTCAGGCACTTGTGCACTGGGCAAGGAAACATGTGATACCGGAAGAGTACTCAGCGGTTGAAATGCACAGAGCCCAAATATCTAAAAGTTACTCACATTTGTGTAGGGAGGCCTGTGATACCGGTACTCAATCCAGGGGGGCACAGCTAAAGTCCGATTCACCATCTTGGCAAACGCCAAAGAGCCCAGAAAATGGTCTGCCTGGTTCCCAAATCTCCCTTGAAATAGAACATAAAGCACTGTTTCTCAGTCACCAGGCTGGGGCGGCACACCAGGCCTCACACAGCTTCGAAATGGAGAATACAGAGCTAGCAGAGTCAGATCTTTCACTACGCCGAATCCAATCAACAAGCTGGAGCGCAACACTGAACCCAAAGGCAAACACTCACAATCCCTGGGTTCCAAAACATTCCCATCCAGCACAAGCTTTTGGAAATTATATTTCGAGAAATTCCTACAGTACTTTGAATATTAAACATGAAATGAGAAGATTCTGAAGAATAAAACTGCAGAAAGTCAACAAGTAAGAACTGTCTCCAAATAACCAGAACTTAAAGCTTTACAAACATTAAAGCTTTTTATGACATGGGATTGGCAGAAGAAAGCTTTTAATATTTGAGGATTTGCAAGCAAGCAGAAAAGGGTATTAAGGCAAGTATTGATGAGAAATCTGGTGACCCAGACTTATTCACCTTTACAGCAGTAACTGAGGGGCTATTTTCAAGATTGTGATGAAAAAAAACCTTGTCATCAATTTGTAACTTTGCCATATATTTTACGAGGCACATTTTCCCAGCTTTTTCAAAATCATAGATTTAAATGTTTAATGATTTTAGTTTACTTTCCTATTTGTGTACTCCATAATGAGATGCATAGGCGATAAAAGTAAAATGTAGACAGTAATTCAGAAAGGACAGGAAAGGGAAAGATGAGGAACTGCCTGGGAGTCTTATTGTGTAACAAAGATGGGTCACCCCTAAACTACAGCACAATGGAACCCACATTTATACGAGTCAAGTGCATTTCTACTCAGAAGGCGTTTACTCCAGACAGAGGGGGCAGCCCTGCACTTACTTGCCTAAGAGTAAGTCCCCCTAAACTCAACAGGCTTACTTCTTCTGAGCTGGCCCACGCAGGACTGCAGCATGTGGCACTGCACCCCGGGCCCAGGGATGCCCCTGCGCTTTCGGGGCAGCCAAATCCTACGCACGTTTAGGCAGGAAGAAGCCGCAGGACCCCGCGGCAGAGCATTTCCGGCCTAGACGGGCCCAGCACTGCGCGCCTACCCCTAAAATACGGCGCTGCCTGCGCAGAGACGGAGCTAACGAGGCTATTCGAGGGTCCCGGGTCTCAGGCCGCTCCTCAAAGCGGCTCTGAGAAGCTGGTCTGCGGTTGCTGCCTAGAAGAAGCAGGAAACGTCCGTCCAAAACCGCTTATAGTTTACACGCTTTAAAAGCGGGGGGGGGGGCGCAAATTCTGATTACGACACCTCCGGGGGGCCGCGCCCCCGAGCCGCGGAAGGGGTGCGGGGCTCCCGCGCGCGCCTCACCCATGCAGGGGCAATAGAGCAGGTATCCGGCCGGGTCCCAGCCGCTGTCTCCGGCGCCCAGGTGAAGCAAGGCGGCCAGGAGCAGCCCGGCGGCCGCGGCCCCGCCAGGCCCCCCGAAGACAGCCATGCGCTTCCCGGCGAGGACAGAGCGGCGGGCGGCTGGGCTGAGCTGGGCCGGGCCGGCCGGGCCGGCCGTCTCCTTGGAGACCGCCTGCTCCCAGCATGACCCGCGCGGGCGGGCGGGCGGGCGCGCGGGGCGGCTTCCGGCCTGGCCCGGATGTGGCGCCATGGCGGCCTTGCGGGGCGCGAGCGAGTGCGCGAGAGGGAAATAGAGGCGGCCGCCCCGGTGGAAGTTCCGCTCCGCGCCCGCGCCCGCGCCGCCGGCCATGGGGCCTCCGCCGCCGCCCGCCCAGTCAGCGCAGCACCGCCGGGGCCCTGCGCCGCCCGTCCTGCCTGAAGGCGCCAGCTCGGGACCGCAGCGGGGAGCGACGCGCGGGGCGGGGTGAGCGCGGGGCCGTGGCGGGCGGTCCCTTCGGAAGTGCGCGGCGGGCTCGCGGGCCGGCGCCCCTTCCCGGGCCGCGTGGGGGCCGTCCTGTGCGCTTCTGCGCCCCGGATCCGCCCGCCTCGCAGCCTCCGAGAAGCAGGTTTCTGCCCCGAGGAGTTTCCAGTTGGAGGCCGCGCGCACGGGGAGGCTGCCCGGGGCGGGCGGGGCGGCAGGTGGCGAGGACCGCCAAAGGCGTTGCGGGGACGGAGGCCTCGTTTCAGCTGCCTGGAAGGGCTGGCACATGCATCCCAGAAAGAATGAATCCGAGCCTTTGAAGCACGCGGGCTATCTCGGTTTTGTGGGAAGAATCTTCTGCTGCGGCACCAGGCACCTGCTGCCTTCCCGGCTTTGGGGGAAATTGGGTTGGGAGAAGGGCAAAGGGAATTCTCTGCATTTCCTCTCCTAGAAGGACCACCGCTCAGTGGCAAAGCACAGGTTTGGCGTACTGAAGCTTTAAGGCATTCTCTGATGCTGCCATTTAATAGGATCGGATCCCTCCCTCCAACTGCCACCCAGGGAAGCTGCTGGCAGGCAAGAGACCATCCTGGGCTAGACGACCAAGTAGATTGAAGAAGGAAGAGATTAATAAATAAAGAGCTCTGTGGACCCCCCCTCCCCAAAGTCGGGAAAATCAGGGTGTCCCACAGATACTCCCCTGCTGTGGGGGAATTTGGGGTTCCAGTTCTGAAAGTGTGTGTGTTATGCTCTCCTGTGGCAAGACCCTGGGATGTAGTACCTTGAACTCTGCATGTCTTGGGAGGAATTTTAATCTTTAGTTCTTCCGTAAAACTTGATTATAAACTTTTCGCAACTGCACAAGGACTACATATCAAAATTTTAGTCAGGTAGCTTTAACTAGAGCTCTTGACTTAGTGAGAGATGAGGGCTCTCATCTTTGCAAGCTCACTGTCCCAAGTGCTGATGGGCTGTTCAGTTTCAGCGGGAGAAGGAATGGCATGAGAGATGGGAAGCACCGTGTCTCTGGCCGTATGCCCATCTCCCGGAGGAGCTCATGTGGCCTTGTCCTGTTTGACCTACTTGGATGGAAACACTTGGCTTAGCTGAATGGCTGTGTGCCCTGTCATGTTGCCAGATTCCTAGGCAGATGTGTAAGCAAGAAAATTCATACTTAAAAAAAAGCCTCTGATAGGTGATGTAAGCAGGAAATCTCACTTAAACAAGGACCAAGGGCAAGCTTTATGAATTATAAATGCAGTGGAATTCAGGACTAGGAGGCAGGCAGGTGGGCATGGGACTTTAGTTACAGCATTAGAGCCTCCAGCCTTTTGTCCAGGGGAAATTTTGGAGGGCCTGCTTCAATTTAAGATAATTTTACTCTGAGAAAGCAGCTGAGAGTTGGCTCTGACCCCATTATCTTGTGCAAATACCACCTCCTGCTTATATAAGTTATCTGTTTGTATGGTTCTTTAAAGGATATGTCCCTGCACCAAAGTACTTACAATTGAACAATGGAAGATACAGAACAAAAGCAAGATATAATTTTCCAGCTGTAAAATGAGAACAGTGAACTTGTCCTTTTAGGTCCATAAAGAGTTGTATTGAAATTATACACTAAGACTATTATGAACTTTAATATCAATTGTATACTAGAAAGGGCAGTTTAAAAAAATAAAAATAAGGTGTATATAGCCTAGTGCCATAGGGCATGCTCCCAGTTAAGTAGGTGGAGGTTTGTTACCTTTGTCTGCAAGTCTGTCCACTCTCACTGGGGAGAAAACCTCACTGAACACCATGGGAGTTATTTCTGGTGATACACGCATAGGTCACAGTGTAATGATGTATTTATAGCTATTAGTGCCAACATTTCAGATAGTTCTTATTCCTACATCTTAATTTCCTTTTAGGATAACTCACATGGGGAATGGTGTGACCTCCCAGGTGAATAGTTGTCAAGTCTGCCTGCCTGCCCGCCCCTCACTTCACTCTAGGGGCAGGGCTGGTTTGGGAACACCAACCACTCTTGCCCCAAAATACATTTTCTCAGCAGCAGTAATGCAGTTCAGCATCAGCTTTTGGGTGCACCTGAAAGACAAAACAGAGGAAGGATTGGGATAGAGAAGAGGCAGCACATGATTTAGTGCATTAACGAATATGAAAGGGATTTGTAAGACCATCCCTAATGTTTGCGTTAGAAAAGCTGGTCTTCAGGGGCCAGTAGGTATATTCTGGGCCTTACTCGGGGCAGCTCACATATATGAAGCAATAATTAGGTGGAAAACCGTGCTGGATCAGTTAAATGTCATTTCCATCACCTTTTTCAAAAGCGAGTGTCTTGCATTCATTCCAGCACTTATGTGCCAGCAAATCAAACCACAAGATAAACTGGTTGGAGTCCCAAGCCAGCACATTAAAAAAGGCAACACGATTACATTTCTGTTCCAGAAATTATGCACGTGCATGGATGTTTCAGATCATGGCATTACTCTTTCATCTGTGTACTGGGACTTCTCTTTCCAGGCCTGGATGATTCTGCAAGCTTGAGTCTAACATCTAGGAGTATTAACATTTTACTGTGTAGGATGGATGCCTAAAAGGGAATAATGACTCCTAGGGTTTCAATGGGGGCAGGGTCTTTTCCAGCTTTTTGCCTGCATGCACCTGTTTTCCTTAAACATGTCATTGTCTGTCCTAGGTGGATCCCTCTTCTTGTTGAAACTTTCTAAATGCGTGGATGTGACCGTACCAGTGCGATGCCCATGGGCAGGGATTCTACTTCATATGGCCCTCCTCCACTAGGCCTGCCATGACCGCTTTCTTCACGAGTGTCCCCAACTGGATTCAAGATGCAAAGCAGGAGGAGGAGGAGACGGGCTGGAAACTAGTGGCCAGACCCCGGGGCCGGGAGAGTGACAGCCCAGGGAAGTGCCAGTATGAGTTGTCAGGAGCCTCCCTCCCCAGCGTGGACAAGCTGAGAGCAAACCCGGAGCTGAGGCCGTACTGCTGCCCGCAGCTGCACTGTGGCAAAGCCTTTGCCTCCAAGTACAAGCTGTACAGGTACGCGCTGCCGCGGCTGACATGCTGGGTGGGGGCCCACAAGCAACCCCTCACTCAGCCACGCACCTGGCTGGGTGCTCTCAGCCAGTCGCTCTGGCTCACGGGGGTTGAGTAAAGCAGCGGGCGGCCAAAGCACGTAACTCTGTCCTTGGTGGACAGGCAGGCTGAGTCAGCTCGGGCAGTGTCCCCGTTGCAGCGTGCGCCGGCCTCCGCGCTTGCGCCTCTAGCCCCGTTGATGAGAAGCAGCAACTTGCCCTGGCATCTGCTGCTCTTGGGAGCCGGCGGGAGCCTCTGTCCCAGCTGCCATTTGCTCCTAGGAGTGCTGTGCGGTCCTGGAAGAAGACGTGCTGCCGCGGGTGGTTCAGGAACGCACTGGCCGAGCGCAGGCAACACAGGCACCCACACTCAGAGACTGCGCGTGAGGTCCGCTGAGCTGTGCCTGGTTGTGGAAATGCGTCTAGGTCGCTACTGCCTGCATGACGGCCGGCAGGAAGAGTGCTCAGCTGGGGCCCTGGTCCCCAGGCAGCCGTGAAGCTCACAGGATGACTTGAGCGTTGTTGTGGGTCCTGGTTACTGCACTTAAGAAAAAGTATTGTAGTGTTAGGAAAGTGGAGAAAGGGTGGCTGAAGCGATCGAGGAGCCGGGGCAGCTTCACTGTGAGGGAAGGATTCAGCAGCTGAGAGGGTTCAGCTTAGAAAAGGAGCGGATCCGGTGAGGCGCGCCACTTCTTAAGGAGTGTGGGTGGGAGGTGCCTTTGGGCACTCTGAACAAAATGCTGGGTCAGCTGGGCCCTTGGTCTCATCCCGCGTGGCTCTTGGATGGCCCACTTTGTGCCCAAAGACCAGGAGTTCCGCTGTAACCGTGGGGCAAGGTTATCCGTCATTGAAAGAGCTGGTGAAATGCACTGGCTCTCACTAAGTCAGGCTTCAGAGCATTTCCTTGGGGCTCTTCGGCGACCCGGGTGGCAAAAGTGGGCATGGGGGGGGGGGTTGTGTTGAATGAGACAGTTGCTTGGTGTCCTGTGGTTCCGTGAGTGATGCCCCACAGCAGGGGAGGAGCCGCCTGCCAGACGGAGCCTCCCCCAGCCCTTTTGGCGGAGCAGAAACAACATGTTTAATCTTTGCTTCTCTCCCCCTCTCGTCTGGGAAGGCACCTGGCCACCCACTCGGCCCAGAAGCCCCACCAGTGCATGTACTGTGAGAAGATGTTCCACCGCAAGGACCACCTCCGCAACCACCTCCAGACGCACGACCCCAACAAAGAGGCCCTCCACTGCCCGGAGTGCGGCAAGAACTACAACACCAAGCTCGGCTACCGGCGCCACCTGGCCATGCACGCCGCGGCCAGCGGCGACCTCAGCTGCAAGGTGTGCCTGCAGATGTTTGAGAGCACCCACATCCTCCTGGAGCACCTCAAGGCGCATTCCCGGCGGCCCTCCGGCAGCATGAAGGAGAAGAAGCACCCGTGCGACCATTGCGACCGGCGCTTCTACACCCGCAAGGACGTGCGGAGGCACCTGGTGGTGCACACGGGCCGGAAGGACTTCCTGTGCCAGTACTGTGCCCAGCGCTTTGGCCGCAAAGACCACCTGACCAGGCACATGAAGAAGAGCCACTCCCAGGAGCTGCTCAAGATCAAGACGGAGCCGGTGGACATGCTGGGCCTCCTGAGCTGCAGTTCTGCCGTGTCCGTGAAGGAAGAGCTCAGCCCTGTCCTGTGCATGGCGTCCCGGGACGTGATGAGCAGCAAGAGTTTCCCGGGGATGCTGCCCATGGGCATGTATGGAGCACATGTTCCGGCCATGCCCAGCTCAGGGATGCCCCCTTCTCTGGTGCCCAACCCTCTGCCAATGGGAATGAGCTACCCCCTGGAGTCGTCCTCCCCACCACAGCCTCCCCCAAAGTTCCAGCTCGGATCTACCTCATACTTGCCTGACAAAATACCCAAGACAGAGGTGGACAGCTGCTTGCCAGAGCTCCCTGGAGGCCTGTCCCTCATGGCCGGAGAGCCTTCCTCATCCTCTCCGCAGCCAGCCACCCTGGAGGAGACGCTGCTCTCCAAGAGCCCCGCTCTGCTTTCCGAAGCACTCTGTGCTGCTAACATGGACTTCTCCCACCTGCTGGGCTTCCTTCCCTTGAACCTTCCTCCCTGCAACCCTCCGGTGTCGTCGGGGGGGCTGGTCATGGGTTACTCGCAGGGGGAGACCCAGTCCCTCTTCACCGCTCTGCCCCCACAGGAGCCGTCAGGAGCCACGGCCTCCCTCGGCTTCGGAGCCCTTCATTCATTGCCCTCCGTCTTTTCTCCTGGCCTGGGTGCAAGCACCTTGCCACGTTTCCACCAGGCGTTCCAGTGAGGCAGCTGGAGAAAGCAGAGCTTCCCTGGGCACGTGCGGATGGACGGGGCACTGCAAGCAGGCCTGGTGAACTGAAACTGTTGCCCACGTGTTTTGGTGCGCGTCCCAGTCCTGGACAGTGAGTAGAGTCGCAGGGAAAGAACTTCAGGTATTTCTCCTCCTCTGTCCTTTCGTAAACCGGGAGCCCTGCGTCATGCTGACCCTCACTGGGGCTCCCCGCCTCATCCTGCGGTCGGAAGAGGTTGAATTGGGCCCGTCCCGTGCTGGGGCCAGGGTTCTGTTCTGCATTTCAGTATCGCGATATGCAGGGCGGGCGGAGATGACCCGCCTGGCCTCACACCCCGCTCCGCCTGTGCAGGTGGTTCTTCCCGCCGCCTGGGTGCCGATTAAATGCATCCTCCTTTGGAGCCGCTTTGTAGAGACCTGTTCCCACAGAACTGCATTTTTGTAAGCAGGGGTCCTTCCCTCACCGTTTCAAATCAGGAAGTTCCAGAAACGCCGTCCACGTTTCTGGCATAGCTAGCACACTGTTTACACAATGAAATCAGGCCACTCTGGTTTCACTTCACTACTTCTCCCATTTCTTCCCCTGTGGGGAAAATAGACTGACTTTGGATTGCTTTGGCCTTGGCCAAGCGAGGCGAGCACTCTGGATGTTTTCCCTCAGATTCCAGCGCAGGCTGGTAGGACCCGGCAGCATCACAGGCCGCGCTTGCGCCGCCGTGCTTGAGAGCAGTGTTTCCTCAAGCGCACGTGAGATGAGGAAGGGCCTTTCCTGTTCTGGCGGGAGCTCGCTGTCGGGGTGGCTTGCACACCCACAGTACCTGTTTGGTGGTCAGGCCTGGCTTGGAGAGGGCGCTTGGTCCTGGCCATTCAAGCACAACCTGGCTTGCTCCGGGGCAGGGCCCTCCCAGCCCAGGAGCACCAGGTCCTGAGAAGAGGTGGGTGGTTCGTGTCCTCCCCATGCCTGCAAGGTGTCACTCAGGAAGCCCCCAGGCCATGCGCTGAAGCGAAGGTGCCCACCTCTGGCAATCCTGCCCACAGCACGTAACCGGCTAACCTCAGGCCGGGTGGGCCAAGCTTCGACAAGGAGCGGGCTGCGGCCTCACCCTTTGCCTCGGGGAAGTTTGGTGACTTCCAGGTGGCAAATTTGAACCAATGATGTCTTTTCTGCAATAGGCCTTCAGGCCCCATTCCTGCAATGTTGGCTCGCCACCGCGAGCTGCAGCTGTATCACTGAGCCCTCGCAGATCCCCCTCCATCTCCCGGACGCCTTTGCCCCGCCTCTGGCAGGCTGCTCCCTCGCGCTGCCGCAGAAAGCCAGATCCCGAACCCAGGCAGGAACAGAGCGCAGGAGGGAACAGAGCATGGTGCGATGCGGGCCCGCCTCACGCCCCGCAGCGGCATTTGCCTGATCTGGGGCAGTCCGTGCGCGCTTCGTCTTTCTAGCAGGTTGCTGGTGTCGGGAGGGCGAGGACTTGGCTGCACCGCAGGAGAACTGGGCTCTCCCATGCCCAGCAAGCCGCTGCTCCGGCGTGTGCTGCCGCACCCCAGCATTGGCCCCTCCGCTTCCTCTCGCTCGGCGCCCGCGGGCTCCTCGGCTTGCCTGTGTCTCCACGAATACCTCGTAATGAAGCTTCTCTGCTTCCCCGTTTGTCCGAACTCCCACGCTGTCCCTCGGTGGCGTCCTCTGGGGCCTGCCTGCTTGCGTCGCACTTCAGGGGGGTCTCCCCAAGCCCCAGATATGCACCTCTTTATACCTCATATGCAGGGCAGGCAATGCCTGAGGCGCCTCTTGCGGCTGCCTTTTGCCTACCCGGGAATTCTAAGCCTACCTCTGCGCCGGTTCTTCCGGAGCAGCCCTTGGTTCCTCTGGATCCCTTCCGTAAGTTGATTCACAGGAGGTTTGCCTGCTCTCTCCTGCTGAGCCCAGCTTGCTTCAAGGGCTGGGCTCCCCCCACCGTGGCATTTTGCAAGTGTGTGTGCGGGAGCCCCCGCCCGTTCCTTGCACACTTGGCTAGCCTTTCCCAGCGTGTTCCTTCATATCAGTCCAATATTTTGTATAGATCCTTACCTCAGCAATTGCATGTGGCAGTGAGTTCCACAAGCCATGCTTCTTGACGTGTTTTAAGATGTTGCCTTTCTGATTTCAGTGAGTGCCTTGTGCTGGGTAACTAGAAGAGGTCCTAGGCTTCTCCTTATCCTTCGGTGTGTTGGATACCTCAGTTGCATCTCCTGTTAAGCTCTTCCTCCAAAACGTGTTGCACATTCTGTTTTTATGCAATGCTCATCACACCCTACCTCGACAGTTCGAAGCAGGGTGGCTTCTCTCACCCTGGGAGCTCTTCTCTTGCCTACGTCCTTTGATTGATAAAGGAGACCCGTCAGGTTCCCGTTCCTAGGCTTCTGGATGTTTGCCACCTTGACATGTGTCTCTGTGTCATTACCCAAGTGAAAAATGCTTACTCCTTCAGAGCCATCTCGGGCACCAAACTTAGTATTCACACTTATACCAAAAATGGCTCTGCTAGAAATTGGAGGAAACCGACAGGAGTTTTTCAAAGATGTAAATACGAGATGGCCGCATCAGCAGCTGCAATCGGCCAGGCAGGTGGCAGTCTGGCGTCGTGTTTCTGATGGAGACCAAAGCTGCGTGTTGCTGGAAGTCTGTAGTGCTAGGACCCCGTGGTTCAGTTAAAAGGGGGAGGGGGAGTTAGTGGCAGACTGTTCGTGGTCTTGAAATCAAAAGTTTGTTTGTTTCGAGAGCAAACAAAGAAAGTGTACGTGGAAGTGCAATGCTTCTCCAGCCTGAGCAGCAGAGAAATGTGAAAAGCGGCTCTCTGGTAGCACTTCAAGGAGAAGGCAGTGGACGCAGAGGCCGGAGCGGCACTCGGTCCCGCGTTTCAGGGCCGTTCACCGGCCGTCGCTGTTCAGAGAGCGAGTGGCAGCGCTGCCCTGGTGTCATTGCCCATGACCTGCATCCATTTTTCTCTTGCTTTGTGCTCCACATGAAGGAAGAATTTGTGTTTTGCTTTTGGAAGGCAGTAAAAGGCCGGTGTGTTCTTGCTCATACCTGCACATCTGGCCTTTTAAAGAAGGGGGAGACAGAGGTGTGAGACTCCCTTTCTCAAAGCCAGGAAGCAGCAGTTGCCTGAGCTTTACTTAAAACAGTCCCCTGGTGAACGGGCCAGCAGGCATCCAGGGAGGCCACCCGTTTTGTCTGCAGTGTATATATAAAGTTTGCCATCAAGTTCTTTGGTCAGGATGCATTGGGGGGTGTGGAGGGGGGGGGGCAGGCACAGACATCTATGAACTAGTGGGGGGTGCTTTTTCCCAGAATCTGGAAAGTCTGCAATGGGGGTTCTTCACAGTGAGATGAAAGAAGGCTCCCGGCCCTGCACCCTGGCTCTTCCTAAACTCCTGGGGGGTTGGAAGAGTTGCTTTTTCAAAAAAAGAAAAAAGTTTGCTTGGGGTGAAATTGATTGGACCTGCAGCAGTTTGCTCAGTGGCCTGATCCATTTCGCCACTGACCCATGGGCAGAGGCTACAGTCTCATGGAATTAACAGATTCCTGCTGCCACTAGCAGTTCCTGGGCCAGAGTTAACAGCAGATTAGCTAAGAAGCCCCTTAGAAATGGCTGGCTGCTCACAGCCGCTGGCATTTGCGCTTCCCAGAGCACTGGGGCCGCAATCTGAAGGTCTTGCCTGGCAGCTGCGGATACTCGATCACTTTCGGGGAGGAAGAGACATACTCCTGGAATACTTCTGGCCCTTACTGTGCCTGATGGCAGCACTTCAAGGTGAGGTAGGGACACTTCCTTTGTGTTAAACTACTGTATGTTGATTTCATTGAGCGTGTGGCTACATGAAAAGGTAACTACCTGTGTAATAATCATCCTTTCCAAATGGCATGTGGGTTTTTCATGCTTCAGTCCTGTCCTGCTCTTGACCCTAAATACATTATGTAGAAATATATAGGATTGTTTTCATGTGGTGTCTTTAATACTAGGGTGTCCATTGTGAGAATTTCATGAAGCAGGATGGGTCCTATGAGCTGAAGGGCTTTTCGTTCTTGCAAAGAAGTCAGCTTCCCCAGGACGATCCCTTCACTCCCTCACCATTCCCAGAGTTCACGACTGATGCTTGAAGTCACAATGAAATGATCCCACGTTCGTGCACTGGAACAAGGTGTTTGTCTGCCTGTGTGCTGCAAGCTGCCATGAGATCCTGTAATGAATTATTGAAGGCACAGATGCAGCCGGCGCGGCAGGTGCCAGTTCTTGCCATGCACGAACAAGTCCCCTCTGGGGACAGTCAGTCCCAGGAAGGCGGCACCTCCCCGTTGCCCCTTGGCGCCCGGGTTCGTCTTCACAGCCTCCCCGCCGAGTAACGGGCCCTTTGGCTTGCTTGGTGCCAGCGCTGTGCGTTCTCCAGCAGGGCGGCGGCCCCTTCCTTGGCCAGCCGGTGCCGTACGTCCTTTTGTGAATGCGAATACATTTCCCCACCATCTGAGGCTCTTCACGACCAACCTGAGCCATTTCTTCCCTTTGGGTAGCAAAAACTGCGGTGGCTTCATTGTACCAGTCGTCGCATAGGCTTCTCTGTGTAAATTGTAATGGCGTCCAGTCATGTGTGCCTCCCTTTAACTGGCACATCTTAATGCATTTTTTTTCCTCATTGAAATATCAAATAGCTTTGAAACTTGAGAGGAGTGCCTGCTATGTTATCCTGTCCCGGGAATCTTTGCTCCTACCCTTTTATGTTCAGAATATGCCCGTATGGGGTCTTTATTTCATGCCGTATTTTAGGGATTATGCATGCCTACAGAGACAGCTTCTAAATACATCCCTTACAATCAGTGGAATTAATTTTTAAAATACCACTATTTTTGAGACCTGCCTTCTAGAAGGTAGAAATGAAGGATGCACGCATCTCTGCTGAATTACCCAATTGCAATATATATGTCATTTTGGACTAGCATTCCACATGAATCAGTACTTGGATAGAAAAGACGCCAGTTAAGATGAGCTGTTGCCTGTGAACTCAGGAACAGCCTGGCTTGCAAGGTGTTGGCTACCTGTGCATTGAATACCTGCCTCCCCACACACTGGTGGCCCTGGGCAGGGAGCAACCAGCACCCCAGTTGTCAACAGAACTGTGGTCAAGTGGGAGTTTGCAGAGGAGCAAGGCAGACACAGGGTATCTCTTGTCGATCCGCCTGTCCTCCCGGTTTACTTCATCACTTTCTGCCTCTTCCTTGGGCCAGCTTACAATACTCCCTCTGCTGAAGCCCCATCCAAAGAAAACTGCTGTGTGCATTTTATGTGAATAAACCCAACATTTCCCTATTGTCCACCCAGTTTGCCATCATGGTTGGGCATCCTTCAGGCAAGATACCAGATCAGTACATTTTGGGGGGAGGAATTATCCAGGGGGTGGGGGGGTCCTGCCTAGTTTTGTGGTGTGCTCTCAGCCTCTAGCAAACATCTAATCAAAGCTGTTTTGTTTAGTTGTCTTAATACCTGGGAGCTGTGGTTTGGCTTGGGTTTTTTAATGTGTTTTATGTAACGTGTTTAACTGAGATTTTATTGCTCAATGTGATGCAGCCTTGCCCAGGACAGGGCCGGCCAGGACAACCCACTGCTTCTCGCCTGCCGCCTCTCCTGTGTATCTGCTGCTCGTGTGGGCTGCTGCGAGCTCTGAATTGCACTGCACCTGTGTGCACACAAAGGGGACAGGGCAGCCGCAGCGGGCCAGAGGAGTACGGGACGAGGAGGCTCAGTGACAGGTAGCCCCGACCCCCCGTGAGGAATCAAAGGCTCTTGTTGGGGTGAACTCTGCCCGGCTGTAGGCTTGGGCCCAAGCGGCTGAGCTCCGTCGCTGCAGAAGAAACATAGAAGCAGAGCGAGTCAGAAGGGGCCTCCCGGGCCATCTAGTCTGACCCCCGGCTCCAGCCGGCTCCGCTCACGACATGCCCGTCATGTGCATGTCCAGCCTGTCCTTGAACACCCTCACCGACGGGGCTTCAGCCACCCCCCGTGGAAGCCCATTCCACGCCCTCGGGGTCCCGACTGTCAGGAAGTGCTTCCTGGCATCTAAATGGAACCTGGGTTCCCTTAATAGCACCCCATGTGCCTCCAGGGTGCTTTGCACCGAGGGGGGGGGGGGGGGGGGGCGGGCAGAAGGCCTCACGGTCCGCCCTCACTGAGCAGGACCCTTCCTCCAGAGGGTGGGATTGGGACAGAGCCCCAGACTGTTCTGTCCCTGGGGTCACTTTCTGCAGGACAGCTGCCGCCCGCTCGGCCCAACAGCAGGTGGGCAATCGGCAGCCCCAAGCAGCTTGCGCCACGTGGGCCTTACTTTCTGCGAAAGCGTGTGACTGTGTGTTTACTTCCATGCTCCAGCTGTGCTGTGTAACAGCTGGATTTCTCCATCCCTGCGCCTCCGCGTGGGAGCAGGCTTCTTCGGCCTCCTGAGCCAGGCATGCCTGGTCTCCCGGGCCTGCCTCCCTCCCTCTGCTAGAGTTGCTCAGGCCATCCGCCTGCAGCCGGACTTCTCAGACAAATCTAGCACTTTTCTAAACACAGCAAATAACCTCCTCTTTATCAGAGTATTGTAGGACTTCTTCCAAGTCCATGTTTTTAAAACTGTAAAGATTGAAGTGCCATTAGGAAATGTCCATCATTGTTCAGTTAGCTTTTTCTTTTGTCTTACAGAAATTAAGTTCAAAATGAAAGAGGGTGTGTGGTTTTTTTTTAAAATGAAATTGCTTATTAAAAACGTTTGAAGCATTGGCGGTTCTTGTTTTTGGCAGTGCAGTAAAAAGCTCATTCGCTGGACTTGATGGACGCCTGGATGGCCGAGCACCTGCCCATCTGCAGTTAAGGCGGGGGCCACATAAAGGAGGGGTTTCTGTGTGTGGGGGGGCCTTCCTCCCAGGTGGGGGGAAATCCTGCAGCATTTCACCACTTTCCCACATAATTATTTTAGGAATGGGGAATACATACCCAATTGATATAATATGAAGTTATAGGGAAAGCATTTTTCCCTTCTCTGAAGCCTAGAAATGAATTGGCAGTTGTAGGTCCAAGCACCTGACGAGAAGGCAGAGTTCCCTGGAGAAATGGGACTCCCTCAAGGAAACGGGCGTCTCGAACGCAGCAGGGCTGCCGTGGATGGCACATCTCGGACGGCTTTCACTCAGGGCGGCCTGAAGTCAGAGGTGAGTTGATTGCACAGGACAAGTAGCTTCAAGCCAGACAGCAGGTCCTCCCCCCCCCCCCCCCCCCCACAGTCGCCGCTAAGCGAGTCCCCTGGCTTGGGTGGCTATAAAGGGAAAGGCCGGCCGGGCAATGAATTTCTCATCTGCTTGGGAAGATTCGCTGTCCAGGCAGCACAAGCGTTGGCTCTTACCTGCCCCGTTTTCTTGATGTCTGACAAGCTGACCCAATACCAATATATCAACTATCCCCCATATTTCTAATAATTTTTTGTGCTCTCAGTACCACCAGAGAAGGGGTTGGGTTTCTGATTTTTCTAAAGGGTAGCTGAGACACGAAGCCCAACATTCAGTACAGAAGCCATGCCTAGAAATCCTTTATAATTCTAATTAACCCAGGAGGAATAATTGCACTCCACGCAGGCTGCTGTGCAGAGCCATCCTAATCTGCATTTCCTCTGCTGGGGGGGGGCAGCTTTTCAGCTGCAGGAGGGAGGGGCCATGCGAGCGCCCCAAAGATGGGCGATTGTACCTCTGCAGAACGCCTTACGCAGCTGTCCTGTGGTGTCAGTCCTGATTTAGGAGAAAGACCTGGCACAGCAGCAGCGCGCACGTTGGCTTGTGTCTCACACCCGCTCCCCTGCAGCACAAAATGGTGGAGCAGGCAGTCCTGGGTTTGGCTGGGAGGCTCCCTTCTGAAATCCCAGAGATTCCAATCCGTGTAACTGCTGTTCCCGGCGGGTCAAAGATCCGAGCTGCTGCCGGGCAGCTCTGTGCTCTTTCTTGGAATGCCTGCTAAGCAGTTTGCAGGGAAGGAAGGAAAACCACTGCTGGAGGCGACACTGAAGCAAGCTGCACCGAGCAATCCCTGCAGAAGTGTAGTCTCTTTGGGTTCCCAACTATGGCTGCAGCTGGCCAGCCAGATTCATGAAGGCAAAGCTGCGTTTTACCCCAGAGCTGGAACTTTCCTGAGGAACAAACACACCTATAGCCAGCCTTACAGTAACAACAGTGAACAGTCCCTGAAAAAACACATCACGGTTCTTCTCACAGAGCCCAATGACTTACATGGTTGGCTGAAGAGAGTGGAGCTGCTCACAGGTCACCCGGGGCTGGTTCTCTTGAATTTGAGCCTAATATTCTAACTGTAGTAGCCATTAATGTTTTGACCTATAACCTACAGCTTAGGGCAGTGGTTTTCAACCCTTCCACAGCTGGGGAGTGGCGAAAACAGGAAAACCACCTTGTGGACTGCTGAGGCAGAAACAAACAGCACCACACACACAATACAGTATTCTGTGTATTCGTTTCCAAACACAATTCCAAAAAAATGAAAATTCTCCAAAACAACCAGAAACTGAGCAGCAAAAAATGCCAACAAAAGAACAGAATACCGAAATCCGAGCAGCGTGGCTCCCAGCCAGCTCTCACCAGGCAGTCTCTCCTGCCCCCCCCCCCCCCCCCCCCCCCGTCCCCCCCCCCCCCCCCCCCCCCGGCAGGACTGGTGCACCCCCATGAACGCAACGTCAACCAAGGAAGAGGAGGTGGAGTACAGTCAGTCCCCCGCAAGTGGGATTGCCCCCCCCCCGCCCACACCAATAAACCAGCAGGAAAACTGCAGACTGGCGGTTGAAAACCACTGGCTCAGGGGAGCTACAGTCCCAAATATTGTGGGTACAAGATTCTGCCTAACGCTGGCTCTTGTGCAAAAGTGTTTCAGGAAGGACTTTCTGACAAACGGGAGTTCCCAAAATGGCTTGCCCACAGTTGAGGAAGCAGGAAGGAGGGAACACAGATGCTGCGAGCAAGCAGCCCCCACCTCAAGTTTTCTCCAACAGGAAATGCGTGGGCTACTATGCACTATGATGGGTCCGGAGAAAGAAATCGGAGCGCCCATTGCTCGCTCACACCTGTGGCAGAACCTGTCTTCCTACCGAGTCAGTTTTGTACTTCCCTGCCCCTCACCGAACGTCCCGCCAACACAGAAAGTTGCGAGCTGCTTCCTGCAAGCCGCACCTGGAAAGCATGAGCAGGACACCTGTGGCAGGTGGCGGGAATCTGTTCGAACAACATTTAGGAAACAGACAACAGGACAACAGCATATTTATTTACAGTTGGGCTTGAACAGTACATTAAAAATACAAGGAAGATGCTGGAAGGTAAGAATAGTGCAGGTCTTGTCCAGAAAAAAAATCCCGGGTGGGGTCGAGTGGAATTCACGTAATACCCTAAAGCTAGTTCAAATCCAGAGCTCACAAAGGAATCCACAGCACAGCTCACAAGCACTACGGTTCCCGCTTGCCAGACCTTATTCTTGGCCGATGTGGCTTTGGCAAGATGAGCGAGAAAGCAACGGATGGGGGTTTGCAGTGGGGGGCGGGCGGAGGCCCTGCGGTATGCCCGCTGCCCCCACCTTGCGCCTCCCGCCGTTCTCTGAAAGCACCGGGCTGGCGAAGAGTGCTCTCGGCAACGAGGCCTTAGCAAATCCCACAGAAAGAACACAGCAGTCGGATCGCTTTGCAGTCACTGGAGGGCAAGGGTGGGGGCTCGGGAGAGGGGCATATATAAAAAGCACAACAGGGATTTTGTCATTGGCGGGAACTGCACATGGGCTTTCAGAAAAGCAATCCCAAAGGGACACCCAGAGATCCCGGAGGTGACTTCCCCCATGGCATCCTCCCCATCTGTCATAAGAACCTGTTTATAAGGTTGAAGAATTCAGGGATGGCTCAGCCCTGGGTCAAAAGATCACTGCAGTGTGAAGCTAGCCCATCTCATGACTGACTCACATTCACAGCAGAATTTCTAAAAAACCGTCCCCACTCTGTTTGCACATTAAAAAGGGTTTTGCTTGCCAAAGGAGTGGTTTTAGCCTTGCTCCAGTAATCCGGCTAGTTCACAATTCAGGATTCGGGAGAGTCTGCAACAAGCAGGCTTCCATCTGTAAGATGACAATTCTATTGTGCTTAGTTAAAGACTAATTTTTGAGAATATACATCTTTACAGTCCCAACTTTCACACCCAGTAACAGGAAACAGCAGGTGTCCATTGGTTAAGCATAGCTGGTCCCTGACCACACAGCCAGTTTACACAGGGGTCAAGAGTGAAACTGATATACTTCAATTCCTAGAGGGGTGACACTAAACAGGTGAAGAGCTACAGGTCAGCCCAAACTGCGGGGGGGGGGGTGTCCTCTGAATACTTCCTGGAACAACGTGAGTGATTCCTTTCTTGGGAAACGAATGAATGGGGTCCCTCCAGTTCCCTTCCCTCTCCTGCACGTCATAGCAGCAATTCCCAGCATCTGAGCCATGGACTCCTTGGCACATCAACAGCGCAGTCAGTTTTTCCGGACCGGGCCTCACATCCCCACCCGAATCCATGATCTACTGGGGAAAGCAGGGGAGACGCCCCAGGGTTCCTAAGCAGCCTTCTCCAGTACGCGGGCCCAGTCCATCCTCAAGAGGCAGCAGGCCTTGTCATTCTCTTTAACCAACTCTCCAAGAGGGAGTCTGCCAAGGCAGGGCAAGCGCTCGCTGCTGCTGCTGCTGTCTCCACGCGTGGCTGGGGGGCACGGCGCAGGGCTCAGGCCTGAAGGCCCCCCGGGAGAAATCGCACCCGCCTAGTTCTGAAACGGCGCCTCCGCAGCACCTGGACGGACAGGATGGTGTCGCAGGCTGCTTCTCGCAGCGCTCCGGAGACCGCCACGGCCCTTTCCTGGGCGCGGGCAGCGCAGACGCCTGCGGCACGATGAAAAAAGGATGGCCCTCCCTGAAATCTGCCCGTGTCACAAACCGGCCACCACGGCAGTCTCGTTCTTATGACAAAAAACAGACAAAAAACCTATTCATCGAAGGGGATGCTTCTGAGCTAAAAGTCCCTTATAATCAGAAGAGAATAAAAGTTAAAATGCAAAGCATCTACACACCCCTGCCCTCCAGGAGAATCCCGATTCCAAGGACCCTGTGCCAAAGATTACATTCCAAAAGTAGAACTATTTTTTATTTCTCACGTCCCGCTCCCGCTGGGTTCTGTTTCCTTGAGAAGCTCCCCACTTCCTTCCTAGGAGGAAACCGAGAGGACGGCTGTTTCGTGCCGCGCAGTGTCCAAACACCTTCAGTCTATTTTCACAGCAGCGTAAATCTTGCGGACAAACATGTAGGCTGCATAGAAGCCAATGGTCCCCGTCAAGAGCCAGAAGGACAGCACCATGAGAGCCGTGTAGCCGAAGTACAGCAAGGAGGGGATGAACTCCACGATGTCCAGCTGGAAGAGAAACGCAAGAGGGGCTCAGGCGGCCGGCCAGCTGGGGAATCCTGGCTGAGGGAAAGCAGGCCAGGAACGCTGCCCGGCCCGGCAAACGGCAGCCGAGGCACCCCCGCTCAGGGTTTCCCACCTTGCGACAACCCCAGGCCAAGGGAGGGCAGAACTACGGGTCACTACGAATAGCACAGCACCTTGTTCACGAAGTAGAAGATGGCATAGATCAACACATAGAAGGCAGACCCTCCGGACACCAGGAAAGTTCTCCACCACCACCGATAGTCCTACCAAGAGAACAGAGCCACGCTGCAGTCACTCCGCCAAGGCCTTCAACAGCGCCCTGGGGACGCCTGGCGTCTTCGGACGTCCACACGGGCTTGGCTTGCAGCATGCCGTGCTCTGGACTGCGCAGGTTTGAGGAGCCCTGTGTCACCACAGAGGCAGAGCGCCGGGGAGCTTTTCATGGCGACAGCTGTCTCAGGAACGGGAAAATCCTGCAGGCATATCCCTCATTGGTCTTAAGAGCCTCGGAAAAGCCATGCTGGATCATGTCAAAGTTCCCTCAGCCCAGGACTTCTTCACACAGTAGCACGCCAGCTGTACACAGGCGTTCCAGCCACCCAAGCTCCTCAGCAATTGGTGTACACAGCACGTACACGGGCACGGCGGAGGGAGCACCCGGCCAGCGAAACCAGCAGCCGTGGGCAGCCCCCTCCTCCATGCATTTGTCCAATCCCCCTTTACAGCCCCCCAAATCGGTGGCCGTCACTACTTCCTGCGGCAGGGAATTCCACCATTCAGCTCTGTGCTGTGCGAAGCCCCACCGATCGGCTTCCTGGGGAGGCCCCGGTTCCAGCACTATGGGAGACAAACAAGAATGTTTCCTTCTCCACTTTCTCTACAGGGAGCCTAATTTTAAATGGTTCTGTTAACCCAACGAGAAGCTGGGGGCTGAAAGTAGGTGGTGGATTAAAAATGTGGCACGCTGGCCCAGCCCGGCTCTCGCGGGGCTAATTAACCCAGGATTTGCCACTCCGTCTCAGTCCTTGGGGTGACGCCTGATCAGCGCTGAATAGTGAAACTCCTACTTCCTGTGATGCAGACGCAACACTTCTAGTGATGCAAGCTTAAGTTTCCTTTTGGCCTCAGCCAGCCACATGGTCCCACAGGACAAGACCGGTTTCTTCAGCTCCACCCTGCAGAGCTAAGGGTTCACCTGGGTTTCGCCGCTGTGCTCCCCCACCCCTGCCAAACTGCCCCTCCGATGCAGGGCCAGCTGACCTCAGCACAGAGCTGGAAGTACACCATGACGATGCTGATCTGGGAGCAGGAGACGACGAGGATGATGAAGACCAAGAAGAGGAAGCCAAAGAGGTAGTAGAACTGATTTTCCCAAATGGCCTGTATCGAGAGAGGGAGAGAGAGAAGCCAAAATGCTAAGAGGAGGACACCGGCACATAAGAAGCACCCCATGAGCTTTTACCCAGCCCGGGCCACTCTGTTGTGACTTTCCGCAGAGTCGCAGGAACGGCAGCCCCACAAGAGGGCTGAGAAGCTGTCGTCGCAGGATCCCTGGCCCACGCCGGCGGGACCGCTGTTCTTCGGAGACCTCACAGGAGAGAGCGAGCCAGGAGACTCCTGAACCTGCGTCCCCCTCGCAGTGCCGGCACCGCACTGTGACAAGGCAGCTGTGCTGTGGCAAAGCGCGCTTCCGGTAAGCAACAGACCCCCTTGTGCCACACCCACGTGTGGACTGAGAAAGCATCCGGCACGCAGAACGCTGCAGATGCCACGGAAGGCCAGGCCAGGGTGCTGGCTGTCAACTGAGAGGGTGGGAATGCAGGCACCAAACCCAGAGCCAGTCAGACAGGAGCACAGTGCCTTCACACCGGCCCCGATAAGGGGGCAGCGCAAACACTCTGGCAAGCACAAATAGCGCCGCCCGCTTGGGAGGCAAGCCGTGCAAGAACCGTCGCTCAGGCCCTGCGCGTCGTGCAGGCTAGTGCCGCTTGGGCTGGGATGATACAGGCAGCCCCCCACCGCCGCCGTGATGGGGCTGCGCCTTGTCGCCCTGCGCCTGGGCATACCGGTGGGCTGGCGCTCCGCGATCCGTGAGAACTCCCTGTGCAAGGAAGGCTCTGGGCGGCATCCCAAGCGGCTGCCCCACCGACACGGCTGATGCAGCACAAGCTGAAGCGGCTTCCAGGGCAATGCTGGAGGCGTGGGGACGGCCCCCCTCCATCCCACGCTCAGACCCCTGCCCTGCTGGCACCCCCTCCCTCGCCGACCCTCCAGGCAGTGACCTGCGAAAAGGTGGCACCAAGGGTACTTACACTGAAGATGAAGAAAAGCTCGATGAACATGGCTCCGAAAGGCAGGATCCCAGCCATGAGAATCCTGCGGAGCAGAGAAGGGAGAGGAGGTCGCTTCACAAGCCCCCCGCCGGGCTGGATCTCAGGCCGATGGCCCTCCATCCAGGGCCGTGGCCACACGGCTCCCCCAGCTGTGCCTGTGGACCAGGCCGCGGTCCATACGGAAGAGCAGCCCATGGCCGGCCACAGCCAGCCAGACGCCGGCCTGGAAGCCGTGCAGGGAGCTGCGTGTGCGCCAAGCAGCTCTTTGCCCTGAGGCCACCGGCATCCCACCCGGGGAGCGTGGCCGCTTGCCCCGGCCTGGTGGCTCAGTGGCAGGCAGCAGCGGCAGCTCCCGGTACAAGAGGACGGAGAGGCAGAACCGGCAGCCGCGCTGGAAGCCTCCCCAAGAGCAGCAGGTGAGGAGCAGGTTGGGCGGCCCTGCTGAACGGCACCGCGTGCCCAACCAGCAGGGTGCCTGAGCCCTCCAGCTCCCCTCCCTGTGCCCAAACTGGCCCTGGAAGGGGCGGCTCCCCCCCGGGCGTGGGGGCACAGAACTCCCCAAGCCTCTCTGCGGCCAGCGGCTCGCTCTCCCACTGATCACTCAGCCAGCGCAGGATCTCCCCTCACTCACCCGACAAATCGGTTCATGTACCACCTCTGCTCGGGAATCTGCCTTGGGATCTGATTGGTCCGCACGGGGTTGTCATACGGCTGCTTGCGAAACCCAAAATAGTAGCCCAGGTAGACCAGCGGCAAGGAGATGCCGAACCACATGCAGAGCAGGGCCACCATGGTGGGGAACGGGACCTGCAAGGGGCAGTCCAACCCTCAGAGCTGCCGGCCAGCCACAGCTCCCCGCTGGGGGGGTGGGGGGCGCCGGGCCCGGCGAGGGGAGCTGTCCGGGAGCACCCGTGCGCCCCTGCCCCACCCCACCCCCAGCAAAGCTGTGTGGAAGGTTCAGGCAGGCGGCTACTCCTGGCTGGCATTTCGGCAAAGGCAGAGCGAGCGGGAGCCGTCGTCCCCCAAGTCGTGACCCCCACCCTGCCCAAAAGGCCCAGAACCGAAGCAGTGCCTCAGTGCAGGAAAGGGGAAATGGGGAGCTTTATTTTATTTAAAACTTGTATGTGCCATCACCACATGCCTCGGCTAGAGGGAATTTCTGTTTCATTGAGCATTAATGTAACAGAAAAGTTTTAACGATCCGGTTAAGGGGTGAAGACCAAAGAACAACTTCATTAAAACACCCACAGCCCTAATATCGCAGATGAGGATCGACCAGCTCATTTGTGGAAGGTCAAAAAAGTGAGGCTGATCCAGAAAAGGGGGTTCAAAGGCGGGATTTTAAGAAGGGGCGTGAAGGCGGCACAACGGGAGAGAATCGGGCAGAGAAGGGGAAAAAGGAGAGGCAGCGATTCTGGGGACAAGAACTGGCCTAGCGGAAACTAGTGGGACAAGTTCCTACGGGCAGAATGCACAGTACACAGTCCCTAATGAGCAACATTATAATAGTCCCGTTTGACTACCATAGAGTGCCACGCGCTACGTCAATTCGGGAGTTGTTTAATGCCAGCTCCCCACACACAGAAGCCTCCGAACAGCAGCGGGGCCTGGAGCTTGCCCTCTCCTCCAGTCTCAGGATAGCTTTGTCGGGTATGGGGGAGTGCCATCCTGACAAAGCCGGTGCGTTGCGTGTTTCGCAGGGCCGCCGAAACGAATGGCCGGCCAGCTGAGATCCCGCATCACGGAGCTCTGCTATCCACAGGCTCACGTTTCCTCGTGTCATTTATACACAGGCCGATCTACACTCTAGTCCTTCTGGGGTACTGCCACCCACATGGTGGCCAAGAGTGCCCTCAGAGATCAGCCACCTCCTTTCTCTCTCTTCTCTCGATAAGCCAAAGCATGCCAGGACCATCAAATGTTCCCAAATCTGCATCATCGGGATGCTTTTGCTACCCATGCAGCGGAAGCATACTGGGGCCCCAACGCCCCAAGCCCTCCTGCAGCCCCTGCAAGCTGTCCGAATCCCTTTGACAGCCAGGAAGGGAAGTGAAGCCTCTTTCATGCAGAAACCAGGAAGCCAACGCCTGAGATCCACAGTTGTGGGCTGATGATGGAAAGATTCGGGGAGGGTTCCAGGACCTTAAACGCAGGGAGAGCGAGGAGAGCCCACGCAACGAGGCACAGGGCCACCTGCAGTGGCCTGTACCCTCCTCCCTGCCACACAGGGTGGTGAGAAAAGGAGGCAGACGGGATTCACAGAAATAGTTTGCCTAATTCTGGCCAGGGTGACTTCTTTTATATTGTTATTTATTTTATATTGCTAATTTTATATTGTTATTTTTGTATTTTATTGTATTTTATTTTGTGTTGTGAGCCGCCCCGAGGCTTCGGCAAGGGGCGGCATAGAAATGTTTTAATAAATAAATAATTTGCTGCGCTTACCAAATCCGGGTGTTTTAATATTTTAAACACACCACCAAGGTAAAAGACAAATATAAAAAGTACTGTGGGTCTTTCTGTGCTCCCTAAATTTATTGCGCTCCCTAAATGTCAGGCTGGGGTCCAAACAGACCCCAAAGTTTATATTTGTTATTTTTTCCAGATGGCTGCTGAGAGTTCAAGTGGTTAGTCACAGTTTTTTATGCAGCAGAGCAAAACGACAGAGCAAGACTCAAAGCAAAGCCACGAATCAACGGGATAGGTCAGAGGCCAGCAAGCGAGGCACTTGCGCCGGGAGCAGAGGAAGAGGAGGGGCAGTGAGAAGGTACGCACCGCTCCGGAGGAGTGTTTGCCCCAGATGAAGCAGTTCAGGATGAAGCATATCCCAAAGACAACTCCGGGGTACAGGGTGGCTGTCTGCAGGAGAGAAAGGAAGCTGGGCTGAACGGCCACCTGCCGGAGCGGGAGCATCAGCAGCGGTGAGTCCCGTGGCTCTGCCCCTCCAATGAAGCTCAGCCCGGAGCGTCGGCGGAGCTGGTGCCGGTCAGGTCAGGTCAGGTCATGTCAGGTCAGGTCAGGTCAGGTGGAGCCCCACTCAGCAGGCCAGGACTTCACCCCCTTCGCCTGCTCCCTTGGCAGGGACAACTTTGCCAAATGCAAAGCGGTGGCATAACCCAAGCACTGCCTCCATGGCCCCTGTCCCAGATGCAGCTGAGAAAAGCCGCCCCCATGCCAGCTGCCCATGGCAAGCCTCGGTGGGCAGGGAGCAGACCAAGGGAGTCGGGGGGGGGGGGAAGCAGGGGCAGCGCACCCCAGCCCAGAACAGACACTGGCGCAGCCGGGCTGTTTGCATGTTATCCAAGCGGCTGTGCCCGAGTTCTCCCTCCTCAATTCAGTCTCGCTCTGGTGCGGAGCCCCAGCAGTCCTTCTCCCTCCGATGACCCCGGTTCTGCTTCCAACGGCCTCGTTGTCGGCAAAGGGCTCCTTTGCGCGACCATCAGGGTGAGATGGGGCTCTCTGGAGGTGGCCCTGCCCACACCTGGCCATGGCGCCCAGTCCCCGAGGCCCCGCAGCCAGCAGGCGGGTGCCTTGACTTACGCAGAAAGCGCCCTTTTTCCACCGATGGCCTTTCAGTGTCCGATACAACCGGCCAGCAGAGAAGCCGCCAAAGACCCTGGGCACAGTGGGAGGGAAGAGCGAGAGGGTTATCCCCACCAGTCATGCTGGCGGGGCTGCCTGCCCGCGCAGGAGGCCGCACCTACCCCATGAACATGAAGAGGAAGCAGGCGGTGGTCATCAGGGCGCCCCGGCTGGAAGGGGACAGCATCCCCAGCATGGCCACAACTGCAAGGCAAGACGGAAGGGTCAGAGGCCGCCGGAGGCTGGCGTTCCAGAGCCACGAGGCCACATAACGGCAGCAGGTGGACCTGGGCCCGCAGACTAGACACGATCTGAAGCATTCACACATGTGCTCTTCTGAAACACACTTGCCCAGGTGCGGGGATGCGGAAGGAGCGGGGTGGCTCTGGGAAGCAAGCTGGCCTGGGCACCACAGCCCAGAGGAGGCCAACAGGACCGGGCACCGCAGCAGCTGCAGGCGGGCCTGCCAAAGGGATGCTGAGGGGTGGGAGCGGTCCCTGGAGGAAGGAAAAGGACACGAAGGGCTTGCGGTGGGGGCGGAAAGGAGAAAAACCCAGACGACAGGGGACTCTGCTCTCTTCCCCTTGGACTGGAGCTTTAGAAACACTTTATCTCCACCTCCTAGACAAGGCTTGGTAAAAACAGGACGCTGCCTCCCACGGTTGTCAAAAAAGAAACAACCAGGCACACAGGCGGTTCCCCCAGAAGCCTCAAAATTGTGGTACTCCAATCTTCCGAAGACCACTTCTCAGTCATCGCTGCAAAACTTGCGAGGTGCAAAAGCCAGCCAGGCCCCCTTGATAAGGCAGGGCCACTGCGCACCACCCCAAATAAACCAAATATACCCAGACAGGTCTCTGCTGTGCAAGCTAAAAACCCATTCAGGAGGAACAGCTGAGGGAGGAACGGAGCCACCGGGAAATGAGGCGGCACTGTGGGAGGGCATGAGACGGACAGAGGTTGTGCTGAAGGGCTGGCAGAAAAGGTGGGCTTTGCAGAGGGTTTCAGAAGAAGGCAGAACCTTCTGGGAGGCAGTTCCAAGCTTGTGGAGAAGTGAGAGGGGACGTGGGGAGGGCGGTCTTGAGGGTGCAGGGAACCTTTGGCCAGTGGGAACACAGGAGGGACGGTCACGGGTTGGGGAACATGAGGGCAGTGATGGAGAACCTTTTAGAGACCGAGCGCCCAAACTGCAACCCAAAACCCACTTATGTATCGCAAAGTGGCAACACTGCAATAAAACCTGAATACTGAGGGTTTAGTTCAGGAGAAACAGCTCGCAGCCAGTCCAAGCAAATATACAGATACATCCATCCTTGGCAGAGCACCGACTGGCCACGCGACAGCTCGGAAGAGTCGCAGCTAATGAGTCGTGGTTTGTAACACCATCGCCTGGTGCCACGACTCCTTCCTGAACATGCGCATGGCCCCAGTGTGCAATGTTATCCGATGCTCGGCTGCTGGGGAGATGCTGGGGCGACCTGGCTCGCGTGCCGACAGAGAGGGCTCTGTGGGCTTGCTGTGGCATGCGTGCCACAGGTTCACCACCACTGGCCTGACCCGACCCTGGCGCACGCCCCTAACCCTAATGTAGGGGTAAAATACCATTGTAAGGGGTGACTTTGAAAAAGTCTTCCTTGAGTAGCTTTTTCTTCACAGATCAACATTTCTGCCCATTCTCAACACATTCCAACCATCCACACCATGCCAGGACACCTCCTTTTTGCAACCCTAACCCAGTGATGGTGAACCTTTTGGAGACCAAGTGCCCAAACTCCAACCGAAAACCCACTCATTTATCGCAAAGTGCCAACACTGCGATAAAAGCTGAAAATGGAGGTCTTGGTTTAGAAAAAACAGCTCACAGCCAGTCCAAGCAAATATATATATATCTTTGGCAGTGCACTGACCAACGATGCGAAAGCTTGGATGAGACCTCATTGCCAGGCACCACTACTTTCCGAGCGTGCGCACGGCCCCTATGCGCGCTGTTATCGATGCCCGGCTGCTGGGGTGATGCGGGGCCACTTGGCTCGCGTGCCGTGCGTTGGCCACCACTGCTCCAGGGTCTGAGGGCAGGGGGATAGCGGAGGGCCCCGAAGACAAAGCCCCCCAGATGAGCCCAGGAAACGCAGGCCATGCAGCAGCCACGGGCTCAGTCGCCAGCACCCTTTCTCCGCCCCCCCTGTGTGTCCGAACGCTCCGCACAGCCCTCCCCAACCAGCTGCCTGCCACATGCAACTCCCGCAATCCCTCGCTGTCATGCTGGCAGGGAACCCTGGGAGCTGCCGTCCAACGGGTCCGGGGGCACTGCATGCGAACCTGGTACCAGGTGATGCCACTCACAAATAACAATCAGGATCATGCAGAAGAGCTGGATTCCAGAGCCCAGCAGGGAGCTGAGGATCATGGGATACTGAGGCGGCCGGAAGACGTCGCCGTGCACCAGCTTCCACCCGGACTCCTCCATGGTGTCCTCCTGCGGAGAAGACCCAAGACCCCGAAGCTGAACTCGGGTGTGCCGAGAGCGGCATGTGCAGCAGCGGGAAGAACGCACGGGGGCTCCTCGCCTCTGCGCGCTCCGGGCACCGCTTCCCAGCGGCAAACCCAGTTCCACAAGAGTGGGAACTGCGTCCAGGTGCTCCTGCTTCCGGAGAGTCTGCCCTGCGGGCTCCCGGGGGCATCTGCGGGTTGCAACCGCAAGCTGCACCTGAACGGTGGCGTCTGGGCACCCCGCTCGTTTCGTGGGCTGGCTCCTTCCACCGAACCTCCCCAGAGAGAAGGGCCCCCACGCCTCTCCCCACCCCACATGCGTCACCTACAATGTCGTCTTCCTTGTTGTAGTTGGCTATATCCTTCCGGAGGGTCCGGATGATGATCATGCTGAGAATCCCTGAAAAGAAGGACGCCTGGAATGAGCCAGTTCCAGCCCATCCCGCCGAGCCCCAAAGCATCGCTCAGCAGCATGTTGACTGGGGGGCATAAAGGGAGGGTGGGGGGGGGCGCAGATGCCTCTGCATGCAGCCTGGAGTCCACGCAAGCTCCCTGGACTGGGGTGGGGAGGGTCAGTTTCTCAGGAGAGTTTTGGTTCAATGGCTGCTTTTACATCGTGTTTTTTCTCCCCTCGCAAGAAGCTGCAGGAAGCATTTATAGTCCTCCCCACACATTTTTACCCTCGCAACAACCCTGTGAGGCGGAGAGGCCGTGTCAGGCCCAGAGGCACTCAACAAGCTTCCTGGAGAAGTGGCGCAGTAGAGCCTGGCTCTCCCGAGTCAGGTTGCGACAATCCCTTCGGAATCAGGCCCTCCTCCCGCCCCTGAACTCCACTCTCGGAAAGGAAGCTGAGCGGAGAGGAACCCGTTAAGCAAACCGCCAACCTTGCTCTGCGACGTGAGCGCACAAGCAAAGCACCTAAGCCACGGCACAGAAGGGGGTGCCATTTGCACGGCGTTTGCAGGGGCCGAACCCCTGGCGGACGCCTGAGCTCAACACACCCGGCAACACGTCCAACGCACAGCAGTGAGAAAGTGGGCCCAAGTCCAGGAGCCAAGCCACGGGACTCTGACGGACCCCCACCCCGTTAGGATTCTTCGCACACCCCTCCTCCTGAGCCCCAGCCCAGCGCTCTCGCCACAGCACCTCACTTTCGGTGCCCCACAGCCAGGATGCCGCGCCGGAACGTTTGCGCCAAATAGTTCTTTCTGCGCTTCGGAACGGCTGCACTAAAACTGACGGCACGACTCAGGCGGGCACGTGGCTCTGCCTCCTCCGTGTAGATTATCAGCAGCACTCTGGGAGTTCCTCGTGGTTGCCTTCTGTTCCCAGCAATGGATCTTTTCACGGGGGTTGCTCACCGAGCCAGCACGGGTTCCCTTAGTTCCTAGGCTCCCTGCACTCCCTCCTCTGCCCAGTGGCGTTCTGTCCTTCCCGAGCACAGCTTCCTCCTCTCCCCCTGCTCCCACAAGGGCCTGCCACCGGGCTCCCGTGAGTCAGCTCCCCATTCCGGAGCTCCGGCACCCAGCCTTACTACCTGGCAGCTGCTCACGCGCCCCGCAGCCCGCCTCTCACCTGAAAGGAAGAAGACGACCACGACGGAGTTGATGATGGAGAACCAGTGGATCTGCACGTCGCTCATTGTCAGGTAGGTGTCCCAGCGGGAGGCCCACTTGATGTCACTTTCCTACACGCGTCGAGACAGTTTGGCCGGTTAATGACCACGCGCAGCAGTCATTCGTTATTCCCGCCCCAGAGGGGGGAAACGGAGGCTGAGAGGCACACGCTGCTTTCGCCAGAGGTCCTCGGTGTGGTGTACAGCATAAAATGACGGCGCATCATAAACTAATTCATAGCTCACCAAATACAGTATATATTCATTTATGTTTCTAAATACAGCCTTCAATAGGGCTGATGCAGGACCCGAGCCCCAGCCTTCTCTCAGTTACGGCTTCCCAGCCGTTGGACGCCGTCCCGCTACCACCGCTCACCCTGCCATGCCCCAGCCGCCCTCTCCTTCCCCTCCCCTCCCCTCCCCTGCCCCCCCAACCCACTCCCTCACCTTCCAATGCACGGAGTAGGTGAAGAGCAGTTCGTTCTCCTTGGTGGGGTCAATCTCCTGGGGGGCCGAGCTGGCGGCTTCAGGCAGGATGCACGTGCCCTTCTCGTCGGCCCTCAGATCTGCGGGGGCAAGCCTTGCGTCAGAAGAGTCCGTGACGGGCCTCCCGGCTGGCTCCACGGCTGAGCAAGGGCCAGGACCCAGGCCGCCCCAGTCCCCGTCCCGTGCTCGTCGCCAGCACGCCACACCGTCTCACACCCATCCCGCGGGAGGGCGCCGGTGAGCAGCTGCTTTGCCACCATGTGTCCCAGGTGCTGGGCTGGACGGCGCTTGGGTCTGACCCAGCAGGGCTCGTCCGACGTGCTCCTGCCACACAGGCACCACACAGCGGCTCTCACCAGAAAGTTTAATGCTCTGCGGAATGACTTCAAAGCGGACCACCCTGTAGGTTGGCTCCTGGTTCTCCTCCACATCCTCTCTGTGGTAGTAAAGGATGAAGGAGAGGTGGTTGTGCAGGTAGAACTGAAACAGAGACGGCGGGAGACACGTTAGAGGCCCTGGAGCCGAGGCGTGCCACTCGAAGGGGGCACTGCGCACCGGCCTTCCCTAAGCTGGGGCCCTCCAGATATGCTGGACTGCAAGTTCCATCATTCCCATCCAGCACATCACAGTGAAAGGGACGCCTGCTTCTGCAGCCAACACAGGAGAGCTGCTTGCGTTTACCTAATTTCTATGCTACAATAACAGTATTTTGCACCTTCGCAGAGTCCGAGTGCCTTGTATGTGTGACGTGGTAACAATGCCAATTAGAGTAACATCTGTTCCAGGTTGCAATGCAACAAAATGCGGGAAGTCAAGTGGGGGGTGAATTCCTCTGCGAGACTCTGTACATAAAACTGAGGGTTGGCTTGGGTGCTGGCTCAGCAAAGGCCCGAGCAGGTGATCGTTACCTGCCTCCTTGTTCCCACCCAAAGAAAAAATGCCACCTGCCCCCGAGGTTTTCCAACTGGAATCCCACCAGGACATGGAGAATGAGTGTTTTAGGAGCCTTGTGACAAGCGGTGGAGGAGCTCCAGTGGAATTCACCCCTTTAAAAGCCCAAGAAGGAGACTGTCGGAAACTCTGTCCTGAGACCTACTTTGGTATCGGCAGGATATAAGTGTTTTAAATACATAAATAAGGAACGACGCCTTTTCGGCCCTCCCGGAACGGCGCCACGGAGCCACCTGCGCCTCACCTTGTTGTTGTCCGTGAATCCAAGCCGATAGCCATGCTCAAACTGAGTGTCCTTCTCCTTGTTCTTCTCTTCCTCTTCACGGTTAGAGTAGAACTCCAGCCTCGTGGCCACGGGCAAGTTGTCGGCGATGCTGCAACGACAGGCCCGCAGGTGAGACCCACCTGCCCACCGGAGCCCTGCCGATCCCAGAGGGGCTCCTGCCGAAACCCGTTCCCGCCTGTGCTCAGCGGGGAGAGACTCACAGGTGGACGTAGTATTCCTCCTGGATCCGCTCCGCAATCAGCTTGCTCTCTTCCTTTTTCAAGACGACAGGAGTATTTGGGACGTTGCACAAAACCTCACATTTTTTCTCAACGTTCATAAAAACTTGGAATGGAGTGTTGACAATCCGGTCTCCTCTGAGGACTTCCCCTGCACGTTGTCGGGGGGAGGGCGGGGGAGAGAAGGAGCATAGTTTAAAGAGAAGGGCCCAAGCTCCGGGGTGCGGCCAGCCAATCGCCGGCATCGCTCTCCAAAAACACCCCTGTCATCACAGCTGCCTAGCGGAGCAGAATCAGCAGCGGCCTGGATAACGCAGCCCCGCACGTTACGCCAACGGAACAATCCACCCACATCAGCAGGAGAACCAAGGTCTGCCGGGCAGGCACCCTCCTCTTTTCCAAGCTCTGGGGAGTGGCACTGGGACCTCAAGCTTCTCTTTTGGAGCGACCTGGGCCCTCTCAGCAAGACCCGGCTCCCAGGTGAGTGCTCTTGCGTGAGACGCAGTGGGTCCTCTTCAGATGCACTGAAGCAATTGCGTTACAGGACCACAGGCAGCTACTGGAATGCGGGGAAGGCCAGGACATCGGGTTGACTGGAACTGGTGAACAAAGCCAGAACGGGTGGGGGGGCCGGGAACGCAGAGCATGCAGCACGTGGACACCGACGTGGCACACTCAGGAAGCCCAGATGCCAAGAGCGGGGTCCTGGGATTGGGGCCTCACCCAGATTTTCAGCTTTATACGTGATTGTGACTGGGCGGCAGAACGGTAAGGAGTAATACTCGTAAGGTAGCTGGGTTCGTGAACTGGTGAGCTTCACAGCCTGGGAAAAGAGAGAGAGAAGCCGTCAGCCAACCTCATCCCCCCCACAAAAAAGAGAAATTCCACTTACAGAGGAAACGCTCGAGACAGGATATGAGGCTCCGGACACCACTGGCTGGGCCAGCAAGCACCCGCCAAACCTAACCACCCCTGGCTTTGGAAGCTTCCAGGACAAGATAAAACCACAGCTTGAGAAAATAAGCTGGGCTAGCTGGACGTCGCAGCGCCGTCGTCGCTGAAGAGACCACAAGGAAGCCCCAAACCATGTATTAGTGTTCTTGAAGAACGGAACATCCTGTAGCACCCAGCCCACAAAAATGCTGAAGAACAGAGGGACCACACTGTGGGTTTCAGTTTGCTGTGGGTACAGGGAAAACATTCTGAGAAATCTCCGCAACAGCTTTAAGGGAAAACCAATGCACCCCCGGGACATTTACATTCCAGCAATTACATTTTTACATTCCAGCAATTTCAGCAGGAGGTAAGCACACCAGTGCCTCACTTTCTCGCTGTAATCAAGGAACTGTAAACGTGTTTGACTTCAGTTAGGTTGTCTCGTGATGCAAGCAAATCCAAAACTCAGATAAGAACCAATGGGCCATTATCACAGAACTACCATGGCGTGTAAACAGGCCTACAATCATTACCTGAAGGAGTGCTTACATCCATATATGCCCGACCGCCCCTTGAGATCTGCAGGAGAGGCCCTTCTCTGGGAACCCTCCATGAAAGAAATTAGGAGGGTGGGTACTTGGAGGAGGGCTTTCTCTGCGGTGGCGCCTAAGTTATGGAATGCGCTCCCCAGAGAGGTCCGCCTGGCGCCGTCGTTATTTGTTTTTCGGCGCCAGGCAAAGACCTTTTTATTTAAGCGGCATTTTAATTGTTAATATTATTGGATTTTATCTGGCCAGGGCGGCTTATTTTATATTGTTATTTTTGTATTTTTAATTTTAATGTTTATATTTTTAATTTAATGTTATTTATTTTTAATGTATTGTTGTAAGCCGCCCCGAGGCTTCGGCGAATGGGGTGGCATAAAAATGCTTAAATAAATAAATAAATAAATAAATAAATAAAGTCCAGCTCAAAGACAAGCAGCTATTCAGTTGGAGGAGGATTCCTTCTGCTGCTGCCCAGCAGCCACAACTCTTTCGAACTTCTGTGGCAGCTTTGCAGAGCGCACCCTCCATGTCAAGGCACTGGCTAGAGTGAACCGGCCGGTCAGCTAATTCATCAGATATCACCAGCCATGACCGAACAGGGCCAGCTTTCCAAGAACTGGCCTGCACGTACAGCAACCGCCACCCCGCTAACTATTAAGTGCGAGCAAAGTGCAAGCTCGAGGGCAGCTTTCCTGTGAGCTCTGCAGCGGTCAGGATGGAAGCGGCTCCCGCCAGCTACCTGTGATGACAGCGAGGAAGCTGGAAGACAGGTGGCCACGGATGGTGAAGACCACTGCCACGTGGGCATCGGGAGAGCAGGCCCATGCAATTCAAATCCACACTCAGTCACGAAGGTCACCTTATGTCGCTGAGCCAGCCACGTGCACACGGCAAGGCCATGGGAGGGACCAATGGGTGCCGTTCCAAACTCTTCAGGGGCAGGACAGAATCTAAATGCAGCACTACAGTTCCCTCCCTTTCCCAGAGTTCATGCTCTTGTTTCCCGACAGCATTTTTACTTTTTGGAACTGGCGTATGCATCGCGGCTGAGCCCCTCTTCCCCACTGTCCCCTGAGCAGTCCCTTGGCCAGTCCACCGGCCCACCGCCGGGTCCTACCTTGATTTCTACTGGAGCATTTTGATGGAAGTTGATGGGCGCGACCCCTGGCACATAGAAGCCGTTCGTTCCACGAGAGAAGAGCAGCAAGACAAGCAGGCACGCGAGCCTCTCCTGCCAAAAATAAGTGTAAAGAGCAGATGCAGCCATCAGAGGCGACCCCACTGAGACGCAGGCACGCAGGGGCCATTCCCAGCATGGCTCGCTTGTGGGTTGGCTTGCCAGAGCTGAGCCTGACGAGCCACAAAGTTGCCACAGCAATTTTGGGTAAGTCTGAACGAAGCTGCAGAGAGGGGGACAGCCCTGGAGACCCCCTCCCATTTTCTTGCTGCTGCTAAGCCCCTTGTGGGATTCTTTCATTGACGGGAATCGAGAATTCCAGGAAACTGAATGGAGCCGGCAAATAGGTGCGACCTCCGCTCCAGAGGTCTCACCCAGCAGGCAACAGATTCCAGGCTGAGAGGTACTCTCAGGGGGAACAAGGAGCCTTCTGCTCATGAAAGAAACACAACAGGGCTGGGGAGATGCCACCACCACCAGGGTGTCCGGGAGATCCAACTGTGGTTCTCATACTTCACTATTTCCTCCACCATCTTCTTTTCCAAAAAGGAAGGTCTGACATAGGCCCTCTGCTACTCTGGGGCCTTCAGAAGCACACAAATCAATAGATTATGTTCAGCTCTGCCCCTTTCAGCTTCTTAAGTCTTTTGCTCAACATTTCTCTCCCGTCCCCAATGCCCAAGTTGAATGTTGGCTATTACTCAGAACCTGCAGTTATGATAAATGGACAGAGGCTCTGAGTGAGTGTCTGGAATTCTCTCCCACAAGAGGTAGTGATAGCCACCAACTGGATGGCTTTACAAGGGGACTGGACACATTCAGCAGGCACTAGTTCTGATGAGAATGTGCTACGACCCAGATCAGGGACTGGCTGCTCATGCACACCGGACGCTGGGGCAGACGCTCTGCTGGCGAGCTCGCTGTGGGGCACGGCTTGGCTTCCTGTGCAGAATGCTGAACCAGACGGACCCTGAGCCTGATCCAGCCTCCGTGCCCTTCTGACACTCTTCAGGCAAGGCCCCCCGACTATACATTGGCACGCTCAGGTTTTGACAAATCCAGTATCACACACAAGGCTTCGAATGGCAGGGAAGTAGAGAAAGCAATTCCTCTTAAAACTTTATACACCACCGACAAGCAAGGAAAGGCAAATGGCCATTTACCAAAAGAGGAAAAAGAACCCATCAGCCAGCGCAGGGATGCTTGTTGGTCAATTAGAGCGTCTATTAGCAGGGAGCAACGTAAAGGACTGCCTTCCTGGACCACATTAATTATCCATCCAGCCCAACCGTCCACACCAGATTATGAACTAATCGGCTTTCTCAAGAGTCTGATGGAAACACATTCCCAAAAGACACCCCCACCTCCCGAACGAGGGGGAGGCCTGCCAATGGACAAAGAGATACCGCTCCTCATTCCTGGCCATTATTCCTCAGCAGGCATGGAAGGGGATCCTCTCAAGATCCGGGAGGCCTGCACTGGTCACTCGCTCTGCACCTTTAGTCTGCAACAAGAACCCTCCTCCGATCCATCTATCGCACACTTCGTCGGAACTGCAAAGGCTGCCTGAATCTCTGCAGGCTACATCAAGGAGGTGCTTGGCTGCATTTTGGTACAACCACTCCCATCAGTCATGACCACTTGCCATGCTGGCTTGGGCTGATGGGAGCAGCCATCAGAAAGGTACCAGGTCGCCCTTCTCCACAAAGCTTCTGAGAAGTGAAATCTTTATTTAATCCACAGGAGCAAAAGAGGAGCTTTTAAGCAAGTATGAGAGGAGTTGCTGATGAGGCGCAAGTGAGACCTGCCCGTTCACATTAAAAGTTCCTTCTGTTCATATCCATGACAAAGGTAAGACGCAAGCTCGAGCTGCTAAAAATGGATTTATATAAAGAAAGTGGAGAGGTTGTAGGGAGACCCAGAAAGCAGAAGCAAGAAGACAGAGGGAAACAATCTATTTATTTTGTGAAGAATGCTTAAGGCATCTCAACCACAGGTCCTCTCAAGAGTGCTGATACAAATGACATTTTAAGACTGAATAGGAAATGAGCACAAAGTGCTAAATAAAATCGTAATTATCTGACTTTCAAGCACATTACACATGATGCAATATGGCACGGACAACTGAGAATGCAGGCACATGAATATTCAGTATGTATCATATTTCAAAGATGTGAACAAGAGCAAGCAATTTTAACAAGACAAGCATAATTTCACTTGTGCCCACAAACTACTCTCACGACAGTCAGGCTCAAATACTGGGGGACGAGGAACCTGGACGGGTGAGTAACAAAGCAACCCTCGATGTTCAACCTTACGCAACCCTAATTAAAGCAACAGTTCAACCATGTTGTGTTTAAAATCGCAGTGTCAGGCATGGAAGAGAGGCCCCAATACCCTCACAGGCACACATTCTTCTTGCTCATGTGTAAGAGAAGCCCATTCCATAAACATGATTTCATTGCAGCATTTATACATGTTTGGTCCTTGTTCTCTCTTCTGCTGCCCCACATCTGCAAGGAAGAGAGTTCAGCTACTGGGGAATGGATTGCCCTGCACTGGATATTCTCTTCACATTCCCCTTGAAAGAACATTCAAATTGTGCCTGCACCACAATGCGCAGCACTGAGAACGCGGACATGTTTCTCTCTTTCCCATATTAATACCGGATGTTAGTGCCATCCAATGCAATTGATTGACAAAAGACCCAGAACAGGGGCAAGTGCTTTTCACGCTGCACCTGATTAATTTATGGAACTTGCTAGCACAAATTAATGGAACCTGGGGATGGTCACTACCTTGGATGGCTTTAAAAGCAAATTCAACAAAAGGCATGGAGACCACCTAAACAGAATTCTCCATGATGCTACTGAATGCCAGTTGCTGAAGAACAAGAAGAGAGAATCACAGAAAAGAAAGGAACCTGAAAAGGTTACCTGGTTGAATCCCCCACTGAGGCCAGAAACCCACTGAAACAACAACCCTGAGAGGTTTTCATCCAGCTGCTGAAAGAGAACATGCCACCTTCCACAGTAACCACCTCCTCTGGCAAACAGGCCGGCGCTAGCAGGATGTTTTTCCTAATCAGCCCTTGCCTTCCCGAGGCAAACAGTTGGCCATTGTGTGGAAGAGGGTGCTGAGCTAGCAAGACCTTTGGTGTTAGGTTTACTAGCCTGCCTGTCTATGTGCTACCTCCTTTACCTGTGCTGGCCTGCCTGCCTGCCTGTACCTGTTGCTGAGGGCTTGGGCAGGAGGAGGCCTGGCACCCCTCCTGCTGGAGGGATCTGGTGAGCAGCTGGTTTGCCACCGTGTGTGCAGAGTGCTGGGCTAGCTGGAACTTTGGTCTGATCCAGCAGGGCTTTCTCATGTTCTTCCAAACTGGTACTGATCATTACTTGTTGCAGGGGGTGCGGGTGACCTCCTCCCAACATACCATGGGGAGTGTCCTTAGGAAAGCCATAAACCAAGCAGGGAGGCAGGGAGGCAACCCAGCTGCTCACTCCAGCAAGCGCTGCACAGATGCCACTGCCCTCGCCGGTGCTGCCGCTGCTGAACAGCTGTTGTCTGCATGGGTAGTGAGCAGGTGCCTGGCAGAAAGGTGGCCAGGTGTGGGAGGACAGAGTGCATCTATTCAGGAAGCCTGCTGGCATCCAGTACATTAATAGGGGCTATAAAGGGCTTCACCGTTCCCTGTGCACAGACGCTTTGTTTTTCTTTTCCGGTTTCATTCGTTGAAATGAATGAGATGTACCTTTGGTCTGATCTAGCATGGCTTTTGCTATGTTTATCAGAATAAGGCCTTTGTCACCCCTTCCCATCAAAAAGACCCTCTGCAGGAAGTAGATCAGAGAAGAACTTTGGGATGTCCTCTCACAGCCTCACTGATACTATGAATCTGCATTGTGAAAATACCAAGCTCCATAAGGTAATAGTGCAGTGGGAAAAGGCATCTATGCCAGATCTATGCACAGAAGTGCTTGTCTCTCTCTGTATGGATGTCAGCCTTGAGAAGATCAAAGGACTGCAAAATCATTGAACATGTAACCTGCTCAGAGAACTTTTTCCTGGTAGTAAAAAGGAAAGGAAAAAAAGTGCTCAGCCAGAGTTCAACTGCTATGACTCTGAGCCTGTAAAGGTACTTGTCCACCTCAAGGCATCATGACTCATAACTATTAATTATAGGTTTTTTTTCCTGTGCAAAGAATTGGCTGGTTAAATTGATTCTGGATGGTAGTAAAACAGAAGAGAAAGCAAAGCTACCCTTGGCTAAGAGGAAAACTCTAACAATATCTACAGACACACCCACAACCTTCTGTGTAGCTGCTCAAGTGGCAGTCTTCATTCAGAAATCCCATCCAGAGTTCCCCACCACAACCATTTCAGGCAAGTTGGATGCTTCACAACTGTCTTCAGACTGCAGGAACCCTCAAATCCCGCAGTACGGTCAAAGGGACAGACACAAATGCCGACCTATACGGCAGCTTTCTCCCACCTGGTGCCATCCAGATGCACTGGACCACCACTCACGGAGCACGCTGGCTAGGGTGACGGGAACTGCCTTCCACATGCGTCTGATGACAGCAGACTGGTTAAAGAGCAGGGCATCTGAGGCAGGAATGCAGCCCCCACGCTGGAGAAGCCGCTAAGCCCCTTCCGAAAAGCGCCCAGCCAAAAAGGAAAGGGCATGGCCAGGAGTCCCTCTTCCTCCTGCAGGCTTTCTGCACTGCTCCAAACCCCGCAACAGCCGCGGACCACCCTCCCAGCCCGGGCGCCTGCCCGGAGGACGCCTGCCGCTCCGGGGCACAGCCAGGCCTGGGCTCCCCTCGCCTCTCGCGCCCAGGCCGCGCCCCCTGCCCCGCGTCTCGACAGTGCTCGGCGCTGCACAAAGGGGGCAGAGCGGCCGGGCCCGCCCGCGTCCTCCGCGCGTAACCCGGGGCGGGGGCGGCTGGCGGGAGGGCCGCAGCCGCTCCGGGGGAAGGCAGGCCAGCCGCCCCGGCCCCGGCCCCGGCCCCGCCTCCCCCTCCCCAGGCCGAGCGCCCTCTCGCCCCCGGAAGTGGGACCTCGGCGCCGCCCCGCGGGAGAGCGGGCGCGCCGAGGGCCGCGACGCGAGGCTCCCCGGGTCGTGGCTCCCGGAGCGCAGCGGGCGCGAAGGACAGGGCGGAGGGGCACCTGCCTCCCCACTCACCAGCACCCCCGAGGCCGCCATCTTGGATCCACGTGTCGGCGCTGACGTCGGCGGAAGTGGCTCGCGGTTGGCCGCGGCGGCTTGTCTCCATGGAGACGGCAACAGGTCGCCGCTGGGGAAGGCGAAGCGGCGGCCTTCTGGGAAGGGCCTTCCCCCTCCCTCCCGAGAAATGGCCTCGGCGACGCCGCCCTCTCCTTCGCGGAGCGCCCGCTCTCTCGTCGAGCCTGACGCGCGAACGGGCGCTTCGCGGAGGACTTTGGAGAAGGGAGCCTTTTCCGCCTCCCTATCTCGGCTGTCGGCGCTCGAAGCCACCTCCGCCATTTCTACTGAGGGCGGGGAACCTCAACGGCGGCTGCGCAAACTGGGGCGCCATCTCTAGTGTGGGCAACTTCGCTCGGTTGGGTCGGAGCGCCTTCTTTGTGAATGGCAAGGCTGGTTCTCTGCACGGGCAGCTCGGCCCGCTGAGGGCATTTGGTCCTACATGACCGTAAAACGAGGGGCCGGTGGCGCCATCTTGCGTAAGGGCAATGGGATTCTGGCGCCAGGGCCCTGTCTTTTGGGGCTCTGGTTCCCCAACTCTAACTGGGGCTGCAGCATGTCCTTTGTTGGGTTGGGAGCTTTCCTGTGTTCCTATTTACAAAGTGTTCAGGCTTTGCAGTGCTTTTAGCCCTTGGTAAGGTTGATTTTTATTCAGAACAAGGAATATCAGAACTTCATTGTTATTGATTATTATCATTTTGCATTTATATCCTACTTTTTCCCTTGCAAGGTGTCCAAAGCAATGCTCAAGTAGTTTTTGATACCATGTTTTTTATCTGCCCTGCAAAGGCCTCCCGCTGTTGGCCTGTATCCCATCAGTCCCCAGGCCTGAAATTCAGTCCCAAGGCGCATTGCTTCCTGCCTGTGGTCTGCACATAGAGGCTGGATGGCCAGAGTGGCTCCTTCAGTTGCCACTCCTTCCAGGGGATTCTGTGGTAGTTGTACACTAGGACTGTGGGAAACAGGTTCCTGGGTTCAGACAACACAGTAAGCCATGGTGGTACAGAGGAACCATAGAACAAACTTGTGTTTCTTATCATGGTTGCTAAAGACCACACTTATCATGATGAAATAGCACAACTGGGTCCAGACAACACAACAGACCGATCGTGGTGAAAAACAGCCATTGCTTGTCATGTCTGAACACACCCACTGGGTCCTTCACATCTAACCCACAGAAGTAATACACCATGTTTGATGGTATTGAAAACCACTGAGATCAAGGTGAATCAACATGGCTGCACATCCCTGTAACTTTCCCAGCAGAGGTCATTGATCAGACTGCCCTTTTTGGTGTCAAACCCAAAGTGGAACCCAGACAGAAATGGATCCAATTAATACAAGGATGCCTAGATCCAAACTGCTATTATCACTTTAGAATACCTTCTCCAAGATGGATATTTGCAGTAATAGTAACTGTTTTCCAGAACCAGAGGGAATTGCTTAAGGAGACTCCTTTAAGGTGGTGGAAAATATTGCTTCTCCCTTGCTTGAGGCGTTTGTCACCTCCTAGATCCAATGGACCAACCCCCATCCCCATCTTAATGTAAGCAGGCAAGATAGGTAAGAGTCAAGAATGCAGCTGGTTGGCCAAGGCTGGAAAAAAGGAAGAAGTTACAAGCCCACCACTCACTGATTTGAATATGTCTCTTTGAAGCTCTTTGCTTTGGTGGTAGTTGAGATCCTAGCAAATGATACCTCAGAAGCCCTGAAATCAGTAGCAAATGAGATGTCTCAAAAACAGCAGGCTATTCCCCAAAACTAATTAGGTCTCAACTATATACTAGTCTTGAACCGGAGACTTTGCAGTCTTTGATTGATGTTTAAAGATGGATGATAACGGAGAAGAGGCGCGGAAACTGGCTGATCATGCACGGCACATGGGCTTACGCCCCTGTACAGAAAGGGGAAGAGTTTGACCTATGGACTTGGATAATCTCACGGCTACCAGATTCTGGTTGCCTAAGATACCTGTTTGACTATGGAACCATTATATTCGCTGTACCTCTAAGTCTCTGCTGTTGCATTCGAAGTATTCCCAACTGATGCACAAATCAATAGGTAGAACTTTCATTACAATATTACAATCCCTGAAAAACACTCTTTTCTAGAGCTCACCACGTGGGCATCCTTGCAGTGTAGCCGACACTGACCAGGTGCCAGTCCAGAGAAAGCTGGCACTCGACAGAACAGCAGCTCCAAGAAAGGGCGACTCACCCCAGCCCACCCCAGACCCCCTTCAGAGCATCCTCTTTGGTATGCAAATGTTGTAACTTTTTGCTTCTAGAACCTATTGCAAAGTGTTACTGTGTTACTGTAACCCTCTAATGATCAATGCTTAAAAGGGCCACCTGAGTACTGCTCAGGGCGCCATTTGGAATGAATTATTGGGTAGCTGGTTACGTAGAGGATGGGGCAGCAGAAAATAGTCGGAGCCAGAGTAGACTCGGAGCAAGAACAGGCCGCTAGAACAATCGGCAGAGCAGGGAATAGAACAGACTGCTCCACCAGCAGTTCTCGTGCCCACTTTAATGTGCCACCATCAGCACCATTAGAAGGATCATTTAGCAAGACCCTGGTCAATGGACAGTATGTTCTTGTGGTGCTGGAGCAGCAGAAACAGTGGAATATGTTCTGTATTGCAGCCTTGAGAGGGAATGCAGAGAGAAATTAATTAAACCATTAATAACAGATCTTTATGGTAATGATTCTACCACTATGGTATCTATTTGTTTAAGGAATGCATCCTCTTACGTTACTGGAGATGTTGCCCAATTTTTTAGGACTGTTGTGCAGATTTGGAAAAATGTGGCCATCTGTTCGAGTGAAAATATCATATAAATTGTACTTTAACTGTGTTTCAATTTTACTACTGCTATTTTGTTTGTTGATTAATGAATCAATGGGTTTTTAAAAAGATGCCACTTGGGGGCTCCCAGGCTGCTGACACGAACGACCTCGAAGAGGGAGCGGATCCCGTCCTCCTCCACTGCTGTTGCGGGTACCTGGCAGTGCCACTCAGGTGGTCCTGCCCACCACTTTTCGGGGGGGGGGGGGCTTCAGACAACATGCTGCATGGCTTTCAGCCTCACAGGCATGCCAGGAGAAGCGCCCAAGCCTGGGGGAACTCAGCTCCTTGTCCCACCACTTGCTGTTCAGTACAATGTCTGAACACACCCGAAGAATCTGAGCGCACGGCTAAAGGATTGTACTGCTTTTCATGTTCAGTATCTGCTACGCTAGTCTTGTAAACGGCCATTAGGAGCACAATGTTTCCAAACCCACATTTCAAACACATCACTGCCCAAGCCAGAAAACACATCACAAGCAACTGAACTTCTCAAAGCCTTTTATCACAAGAAAATCAGTTTACGTCAAACATTTTATGTCAAAGCATTTTATGTTTACGTCAAAGCATTTTAAAATATACTAGGTAAATATAATTAAACCATCATATTTGATTTCTTATTGCCTTTCCTTTTTTCAGAGCTGTACGTTTATGTACAGTACAAACAAGAGGGTGCTTTGGTTAAACTGGCACCGCCTACACTAATGTTAAGAATGCAGGCCTCCCAGGTGCCTCACTACCCTATTTTGAGAACTGCTTGCAGAAGATACAGCAAGACAGACTGATAGGATGGTTAGAAAGTGCAAGGCTTACTGCTCCCATTCTTTCTTTCTACACTTGAACAAAAATAACCGGAACTTCAGATTTGCGACATTTGGGATATACATTTTGCCTTAATTAAAGAAAATTACAAACACAGAGAGTGAACTTGTAGTGTCTTTCCTGAAATATTCTTCGCCTATTTTGCTTATGTGAGGACAGAAAATTTGACACAGAATATGGATTTCTTTTTTGATTCCAAACAATTGCTCCTAGAAATAGAGATATGTGACCAGCCAAGTTCTGAAATTTTAACCTGCTCTTCTCTCTGCTATTTCCATTTTTATGCTGTTTCTGCACCCACTTATTTTTTGAGGAGCACAACATTTTAAGGAATGTTCTATACACATTCTCTGTGTTTTACTGTTACCGTCTTTGAGATGCAATAGTCGAGAAATTACCCAGATAAATAGATAAAACGGAAATGAAATAGTGAAAATGTGGTTCTGCTGTTGTGAACGGATAAGGCTGTTAAGTCATGTCCTTTCTCCAGTATCAGTAGATACAAATTTCCTGCTTCTGCACAATATTCATAGAAAGCTGTCCTCTAGTAGGATATCAGATCTGCTTGCGAAGTGTTTGCGAAGTGATGGAGGCAGTTGTGAAATGCAACTGGCTGGCTGTCTGTCTGTCTGTCCCGTTAAATTAAAGAGTGCCACAGCCGGTGTCCGTCCTTTGGGGATGGGTGCACCACCTTGAAAGAGGGTTATTTTTAACGTGATTGGATGAGGGAAGGAAAGAAATGGCTTTCTACCATTTGGAGACTTAAAGGGGTGGGGAGTAGCTGAAAATGCCAGTGTTGCAATACAGAAGATCCCGGGGGGGGGGGGGGGATCAAAACCATTAAATCTGCCAATGTATCAATGGCACAAGCTTTGCAGGAAGGAGCAGTGAGCGAATTTACTTAACAGTGCTGGGGTTTTCCTTTTTCCAGAAAAAGGAGATCTCTAAAAGACGCTGAGCTGTTTAGCAAAACTGCCTGAAGTCTTCCACATGTAAAATAGTCTTCCCCTATTTTGTGGTGTGTCTTTTCTTCTGCTCTTTAAATGCGGCAGCCATTTTGCAATTGGGAAGGGCTCCGTGGCAGTCCGTTTCCAGGACATGAGGGCCGTGCTGGATCAGACCACGGAAGGGTCCAGCTTGCTGTCCACACGGCGGCCCACCGAGGGATCGGCACAAGCAGAGGTGCAGAGCCCTGGGCAGGTCAGCCAGTCCGTGCTGGCGATTTCCCCACAGCAGCACAACTGACACTGCTTGAAGGAAAGCCTGCACTCCCCTGCAGCATAAAATATCGCGGGCCAGGTGCCGACAAGAGGTTGTTCCTGCACCAGATTTTCCAAGATACCCGATTTGCCAAGGATGTGTGAAGTAGAACCCCAGATAGATGGATGTGGCCACTCAGGATGAAACCTTTGCACTTCCTGCGGTCCCAGCGACGAACAAACGGTGCCAGTGGCACTGAATGCCGGAATCCCCGTGGCTCATCCACCTCGCCAGTCTGTTGCGTTGTGCAAGCCACTCGCCCAGCCACCACTTGGGGTTAGACTCCTGGGCATCACACGACAGCCCCCCCTCCACCCCCGGGGTGGCAGCGATGTGCACACCTGGTCGCTGACAACCGGCTGTGGATTTGTAATGTCACGAAGGCATCACCTGAGGGCAAATCCAGGAAGATCTGCAGTTCCCAGTTCTTCAAGAATTTGAACGCACACACACACACGGCACCCATCCCTGTCACTGCTGTGTCCGTTTCACCCAGAATGTTGTGAGCTACTGCGGGCGTGTCCCAAGGAAGAGCACGGAGGGGCTCTCTGTGTTTCTGCTGGCACACAGCTCTTTTTGTAGAATAGTAAACTCGTTCTCTCATGCTGGCTACTAACTTGGGGATTTGTAATTAATTAATAAAAGCTTCTCTGTCACCATGAGGCTTACCACCTGTCCCTCACTTTAGGGCACAGCTCCTTATTTCGCATTATTATTATTTTACTAAAGAAGGAATTGTCCCTTGCATTAGGAAACAGGTGGCAAGCCTCGTTACAATGCTCCTAATTAATGGTTAAAATAACAAAAGTCTTACAGACCACAGAGGGTAATGCGGTAATAGATTTGTTGGTCTTTAAGGCATGCCGAGACTTGTGTTCCCATTGGAACAGACGAACGCGAGTATAATGGACTTAAAGCATTACTTAATGAGTCAGTAAGGAAACCTGAAAGGACAGGCATGTTTAGCCTGGAGATGAGAAGACTAAGCGGAGCTAAGAGAGCACTTTTCAAATACCTGAAAGGCTGCCATGCTGAGGAGAGCTGGGAACGCTCTTGATCATCCCTCAGCGCAGGGCTTGCAATAGCAGGCTCAAGCGACAGGAAGCCGGGTTCTGGCTGGACGTCCGGAAGGGCTTCCCAGCTGCTGGGACAGCCCGGCAGTGGAACCGAAGCCCCAGGCCTCCAGCCGCCCACAGCCATCATGCCTCACCTGTGCTTTCGCTCCCGAGGTGTCTTCCGCCCCCGAGAGAAGCCCTCGAAATGGGGAGGAAAGGGGGCTGGGCACTGAGAGGTTGGCGGCCCCACCTGTTCCTCTCCCAGTCACAACGCATCCTGTCTCTCTCTCTGTGGCCCACTCCCATGTCTGGGGGGCCGGCGGTAGCATTATTTCTGCACTGGCAGCACGGGGGCACCGAAGCATCAAGGTCAGAGGACTGCGAAGGGCCTTAACAACGTTGGAGTTCACCAGTCATGCACTGGATGAGTCAACGGGTCAAATAAAGAACCTCCCCCCCATGCGCGCACAGGGTCTTAGAATAACACAGTGGCTTTCCAACAGTAAGTGAGACAAGGAGCACATGCCTCATTCCCTTTGAAATGGCCTCACCGCCTACAGTTTGAGGAGCTCAGGACACAAGACCCAGCCCGGCACTGACTTTGCTGGCAGGAGACAAGGCACCTGCTGGGTTGCTCCCAAGACGGTGCTGCCTCGGTAGCGCCCTGCTCCAGATTCAGCTGCCAGCGCCCCCCCGTCCAAACGTTTGCTCCCCGCAGCCTCATCTGGCAGGGCCGGTCGCTCTCCGCCAGCCTTAAGGCTGCTGCTGGTATTGACCTTCCGTGGCAATGAAGAAATCTTCCAGAATGCTCTGGTTGGACTCAAACGTGGGCCGATTCTCCGGCTGCTTTTCCCAGCACCTCATCATAACCTCGTAGAACTCTCTGGGGCAGCCCTCTGGGCAGGGCATCCGGTAGCCCCGCTCGAGAGCACGGATCACTTCCATATGCGACATTCCTGCATTTGAGCAAAGAAGGAAGAGGCCACGCGGTCTATAAAATCAGGGCTGCCAGCTCATAAATATGCTCCAGAAAGCAAAAAAGCCTGAACTTGGAAGAAGACGGATGCAGGGCACCTCGCTGATCTTCCTTGAAGCTCTCTGAAACGGAGCAGGTCCACCATTCTGTCTAAGCTAACGCCAGGGAGAACTTACCCCAGGGCAAGAGAGGAGGACGTTTATCACGCAGCCTTCCCTGACCTCAGCCCTCCAGATCTGCCAGACTACAATACCCATAATCTCATAGGCAGTGGAGCTGGGGATGAACAGGGGTGATCTGCTGCTTTTACAGCTCTCTTGGGGGCTTTCTGGAAGCCTGTGAGGGACCGCTAGTTGGAACATGACACACTAGTGGAACTGGCCTGATCTAGAAGGACTTTCGGGAGATGCGAGCTCACCAGCCGAAAGTCGGTTGCAGCCCTTGACTGCAACACAGATCTGCGGACGGCACAAGGACGGCGGAGGTGCTTTCAACCCCCTGCGCCCCTCTCTGAATCAGCAGCTTTGGCAAGAGGACTGAAGAGCCCGTGGGGGCCATCACCTGCCCCATCTCCCTTCCACAAAGTATTCCTGCTCTTTTTCTCCCTCTGCCAAGAAATGAGAAATGCAGAGGGACGGCAGGGAAACACTTGCCGCAGCTCACCTGGATACGGGGTCCGTCCGTAAGTAATTATTTCCATCAGCAGAACCCCAAAGGACCAGACATCAGACTTTATGGTGAAGGAGCCGTAGTTGATGGCTTCGGGCGCAGTCCACTTGATGGGGAACTTGGAACCTACCCAGAGGGGCCAAACAGAAGGCGAGACTCAGCAAGAAGGCGAGGCCTCGATCCCACAGCGCGCGGCTCCCTCCCCTCCCCTCCCCTCCCCTGGCGACAAGCGCAAAACGCTCCGAGCGGCTTCTAGACTGCAGGCAGGCTCCTTCCGGGGATGCACGGATGTATTTTTGCTCTGAAAATGCAGGGCCCTCCAGCTCCGGAATGGATGGGAACATCTCACAAACTGAAGTGGAAGGGCTGAGCACATTTATCAGTGGCCGTGTCCTGCCCCCCGTGTCCAACGGTGCGAAGCCTGAAGCCCAGTGTGTATCGCACACAAGCAGAGACGACAACTGGTGGAGTGTTTTGGCAAACAGCCCCGAAGGCCTCTCTACCCACCTTCCCGAGCCGTGTATTCGTTATCGTCGATCACTCTGGCCAAGCCAAAATCGGCAATCTTGCACACCAGCAACCCTGACACCAAGATGTTGGCAGCTCTCAGGTCCCGATGGATGTAGTTCTGCTGTTCGATGAAAGCCATGCCTTCTGCTATCTGCCGCAACGAGAGCAAAAGGACTGCTGTTATGGGGGGGAGGGGGTGGGCACAAAAGCCAGGCTTAGAGGGGCCGGGAGACGCAGACCCACGGCCCGCTGAGAAAGACACGGTAATCCTCTTAAATCAGGTGCTGGGTTCCGTGCCAAACTCAGCTGCAGCTTTGGGGCAGAGTGTCCCGATGCAATGTTGGTGGCGCTGCACCAGAGAGGACCACTCTCAGCTTTCCTGCTTTTCCCTGTCCCCCCGGCAGGCACGAGAGACGCCGCGCCAGCCTTCCCAGGGGCCGAAATGGCTCTTCCGGTGCTGCACCTCCTGGCCCTAAGAGTCTCAGGCTGAGCCGGCCAGGCGGTTTTGCCATCCCGAGCCCACCTCTCTGCCTTCGGTGCCGCCCAGATGGGAATATCTTCTCAGAGAACTACTCTGCCATTGTCACAACAGCCCAGCAAGGAAGGCTGGCGGTGTGCGGGGCTGAGGCTAAAACGGAAAGCCTTCCCCCCAAGCATAAGCCTCCCTACAAAGCCTTCTGCCAGCAGTCGCTTCGTGTTCGTTGTTAAGCGAAACAGGAACCGGCTGGTGTGTTTCCTCTGTTGCTCTGTTTTACCTTGTATCTTAATTTGATGATGTTTTAATTGGCTTCTCTTGTTATATGCTTGTAATTGATTTTTTACGGCTCTAATTGTGTGCTGTCTTTGTGCAGATTTTGCCGTTGTGAACTGCCTTGGGCACAGATCAAATAAGAAACGGATGAAATCGTCTCCCAGCGCACACCCTGAACGCAGCGCTCGGCGCGATCGTCGAAGGGAAGAGCAAAGACGGCCGCAGCGCTGGGGAATGGGGGGGTACTAAGAGGCTGAGCGCAGCATTTCAAAGCAACTGGAGGAGAAACGGCTTTGGTCAAGACCAAGTGGCCCCCAGCTGGCGTCCCCCAGATGCGTTGGATCTCGACTCCCATCAGCACTTCGCTGGCACAGCCACCTCCGAACGCTCCTGTGTCTCTGGAGGGCGCCAGGTTTGCGAAGGCTGATCTAAGGCAAGGGTGTCCCTTTAGGTGAGGTTGGACTGCACTGCGTGTCACCCTTGACCATTGGCCATGCTGGCTGGGGTTGATGGGACCTGGAGTCCAACAACATCTGGAGGGCCACCTGTTCTCCACCCCTGCACACCTGGGCAATTCCGCGATTTAGCAGGACATATTCGAAGTGGGAACGTCCTGGTTCAGGCTGTGCTGTGACTCGCCCGCAACAGGTCTCTGAGACTGTGCTGAAGAGAGCTGTGAGACCCTGAAGCCGAAGGGGTTGGAGCCACCCAAGAGGCACCCTGTGCTCTTTGGAATGGCTGATTCTGGCCAGCAGACCTTGGGAGTTGATTCCACAAGGCCCACAGGGAGGAAATGCCCGGGCCCCTTCCAGGTCCCCCCCCCACATTCTAGTGAAGAAAAGGAAGAAGCCAGCCACACAAGCGCCCGCCCCCCAGCCATACACTGTGCCCCCCCCCAGCCCGTGCCCAGCAAATTTGCCTAGTCAAATCTTGGCTTACACTCCGTGGCTGGGAACAGGGCGACCCTCCTCACGGCAGGCTCAAGCAACGCTCCACCTTCTCCCACCCCTTTTCTGTGGAAATCCAAGGCTCCGAAAGGCGCCTCCCAGCGCTCAAGTGGGGCTAGGAATTCCACTCGGGGGCTGCAGGCCAAAGGTGCCCTTCCAGGGGGGCGGAGGGGCCATCCCAGCTCCCCAGGCCACGCGGCCATCGCCCTGCAAACGGGCACATGGGCTTTGCTGGACAGAACCCGCTCGGCGCAAGGGCAGCTCCCTGCGTTTCTGGCACGGTCTTGGGGTGCATCTGCGCACGCAGCGGGTGCCTGGCACACCCGGCCTGCCTGCCTCTCCCAAGAGACGCCGCTCTGCATATGCTCAGGGGCACTCTGCAATCCCTCCCCGGGCCGGACCAACCCAGCCACCCAAGCGGGTGGGGGGGGGGGCGTGCAGACCCTGCGCTCACCTGGGAAGCGAAGTCGATCAGCCTGGGGAGCGGCTGTTTGCGCCCTTCGTCGCTTTTCAGGAAATCCAGCAAGCTGCCTGAGGGGAAGAAAGCCGTTCTTCAGGGAGGGTGCGCAGGTCTCACATTTCCGGGCCCTCACGCCTCTCCACGGAGAGGGACCAGAGCGCACACTCAGTCTGCCGGCAGAAGGCCGCAGGGTTCGACCCCCGCAGGCAGCTCGTCACAAACGGGAACCGAGGAGCAAAGAGTTTCCATAATCCCTCGTGAGCTCAGACAAATGTCGATCCTCAGAGACGTCTGGAGAATAAGGCTTTTTACAATCCCTTTCATCTGCATGGTGTCCCACCCCGCAACCCTCCAAGCCGACTCGGATGTTCACTGGCTCCAGCATATTGCCATAAATGGTCCCCACGTTTGCTCTTCGGTTCCCTCCTCACTTCCCATCCTTTTTCATTTGGGATCCTGTCCGTAACCTAAAAGCCTGAAGGAGGGACCGTCACCCGGCGATTCTCATACTTCGCACTCGTCACACCACACAGGCGCAGGGAGGCAGCGTTCGGGGTTTGCCTGCTCGGACCAGAGCCCTCAAACTGCCACTTGGAGCCCCAGAACTGGGGGCGGGGGGTGCTGAATGCCCTGGCTTTGTGCTCACCCACGTTCCACCCCCGGCTACTCCCGGTATCCTGGATCTTTCTGTTGCTCCCTGCATCTCCCGTCCCCATAACCCTTGTTCCAGACGGGGGTCTCCTTGGCCGACAAGATGCTTCCAAGGCGCCTGGAATGAGGCTGTGCTGAATTAGCGGATGCACTGGGGTGCTTTGTTCCGTTCCTCTGGCCCCGTGGGCCTGATCACCAGGTCCTGCTGGCCCCTGGCCCGGCCCCTGCGGTCCCTACGGCCGTGGAGAGGTGCTGCTGGCCCGTGGGGCACGAAGCCGCTTTCTGCGGAGCTCGACCCTCTGTGGGGCCCTCTGTCAGCTCTGCCTCGCAGCGCCTCTTCGGTGTCCCGGGAGGAGGCAGGCCGCCCAACCCCCCGCCACCGCTTGCCTGGATCCTTTTGTGTGAGAGACGCTGGGAGGGGACCCCAGGACTCCTGCACCCAGCGGAGGGCCCCCCTTTAGAGGAGGCAATGAGAGACCGAGGGCTCTGACCCGGCATAAGCCACTCCTCTTGTCCCCCCCACCAGCAACAGGGGGGCCTTCAGGCACCAGGGCCCCCGTGGCTCCGGGGACATCAGCCTTCCAAAAGTAAGGCGACCCTGAGCACTCTGCACAGCCCCTGGAGATAAGCACGCACAGCCGCTGCCTGGGTTCCCACAACACGACGACCTTGTGTGGGCTGTGGCCCGCAGGGGGTTGGCACCTCATGCAACCCTGGACCAATCCCTGCAGCACGGCTTGTCTGAGGGCGCCGTGGGGCTTGTCCTGCCCATGATGGGTTGTTGTGCCATCTGAACCAACCCTGTTGCGGCAACCGGGAATGGCTGGCAAGCCACCTGGCACAAGCCCGGCTTTCCTGGACACCTGCCAGTCTCAGGCACCCCCAAGCGGCCCTGGAGTGGGGGGGGGCACTGGCTTGCCTCCCTCCTCACCACGGCTGTGAGCCACCCCGGCTTGCTGAGACTCCCTCCCCTCCCCACTTTCTCTTGAGATTGCAGAGTCAGGCCGGACAGGCAGTTTCTGCAATCTCCGTTTCGACAGTCACTGACAGTTCCTTCTTAGAACAGTCATATCCTGCCCCCCTTCCTCCTGCAAGGAACCCAAGACAATCTCCCTCCGCTCCATCCAATTGTCACAACAACCCTGTGAGGTAGGTTAAGCTGAGAGTCAGAGACTGGCCCAAAGTCAAGACTTGAGGCTCTTAAGTCCTGCTGCCTCTCAGACGTGACATGGAAGTGGCCCTGGAGTCCAACTTTTCTCAGGAGAACACTGGGGTTCAAAGCAAATAAACCAATAAACTGCTCCCCCCGGTGTTTGGTGGAGTTTCTTCCCCGGAAAGCTGCACACGGGATTCCAAAAGTAGGAATAAATACAATTCCACCCCTTGCTTGTGACTGCGCCTTGGCCTCTTCTCCACAGGCCATATCACATCTTGTCTCCATCACACGTCCCCTCGGCTCTCCACCGCTCTTTCGCTGGCGTTGGCTGCTGCTTCCGTCGCACCTCTGAACGCGTGGGGCTCAGGCAGACCCAGAAAATGGCTGCACACTGACTGTCTCTCCCCCGGGGATGCTGAGAAGGGCACGCAAGGTGTCTGTCCAGCACCATGAAGCCACCACATCGCCAGGTCGATGCTGCCCGAAGCCAGCTCTGAGCGAGGCCCTTACCTTTCTCCATGAATTCGGTGATGATATAAATGGGCTCCTCCTTTGTCACCACGGCGTGCAGCTTGACCAGCTTGTCATGCTGCAGGGTCTTCATGATGTTGGCCTCTTCCAGGAAGGCTTCCACTGACATGCTCCCCGGCTTCATGGTCTTCACTGCCACCTTTGTATGCGTGTTGTACGTCGCTGCAGAAGCGGTAAAGAGATGCTTGAACACCACAGCACCCACTGAGCCGCATTGCCCCGCATTCGCTGCCCTCCTGCCAGCACCCCCCTGGATTTGGCGAATCCAGGCAAGCACCGGAAGGAAGAACCGGAAGGCAGTCCCTCACATGGAAAACCTCAATGTTAATGTGTTGTTTTTAAGTTTCCAGTCCTTATGACAGCAGTACTGAACCTTAGTCCCAGGGGAAATCAAGGGGCCAAGTACAGCCCTCCATGGGATGCCCCACTCCCTTTCCCCAGCTTTGTACAGTTGTTTATTCATGAGGAGAGGCAAACATGCTTCCCCCGAGGCCCAGCGTTGGAAGTAAAGCTTGTATGCTAAAATGTGCAAGTATCTGGGGCATCTTGACCTCAGCCCTTTGCGGGGTTCTAGCCCTGGGTCAGCCCTGGAACCCACCTGGTGACTTTGGGCAAGGCACCCATGCTCAGCCTAGCCAGCCCCACAGGTTTGCTGTGAGGATAAAACGAAGAGGAGAAGCGTAAGGTAAGCTGGGCGTGGGTTTCTTGCAGGAGTAAAGGGTTGAATGACCCACAGAGAGAACCCCTGGTTTGTTGTTGTGCTTCGAACTGTGGCTTGTTCACTGTGGTTTGTTATCTGGCTGGGTTCAGACAACACAAGAACCCACGTTTCAGTAACAAATCATGGGTCAATGACAACCCACTCGCTTCTGGGATGTGGGGTGTTGTGTTCTCCAGACCCAGTCAGTCCACCAAGCCAATGCCCCAAGGAAGAGGAATGTTGCCCTGGGGGGCGTCCCAGAGACCCTGCCGGGGGCCATGCTGGAAACAGGATGCGGGGCTCAATGGCCCTCTCGTCCGATGCGGCAGATAACCTTACCCATCCAGACTTCTCCAAACTGTCCAGCTCCCAGTTTCTGCTCCAGCTTCAGGGAGCTGCGGGGGATCTCCCAGGCGTCTTTCTCCCAGGGCTGCTGAGGCTTCGGCGCAATGCAGGGGAAGGTCAGTGTCTGGCACAGCCCGTCGCTTTGCCCTGAAAGGGAACAGAACAGGTCTCCCCCTCAGGCATTTCCACGACGCAGCACGCATTCTGGACAAACGGCAAACACAGGCCGTTTATTGCTGATGCTTTCGGGTAAGGATGCCCTGGCATGGCTGCCGGATTCTGGCAGGAAGGAGCCGGCAGCACGTGGATTGCGGAGGAAACTTGTGCGAAGGGCTGAGCCAGAAGACAAAAGACTTCTCGGCATCCCAGGAGGAGCCTCAGTGCAAGAAATCCCGGGTCTTACCCTTGTAATAGCTGACTAGTTCCTGCAGGCTCTTAAACGTGCTTCGCGGGGAGACGTAGTAGCCCCCACTGTCCAGCGTCCGGATCCTGTAGTGTTTCACCTTTTCCACTTTGTTCTGGCTGTCAAAATCTTTCACGGACAGGGAGTAACACCCTGCACCAAAAGGGAGAAATCGGGGCTTCAGCAGCTCCCCCAAACCGCCAGAGCTTCGATCTCACGTCCAGCTCATTGGGGGACAACGCGCTGATCTGTCTGCTGCAGCGAGAAAATCCCTGCCAGGACAGGGTCCCAGGCTGGGAACAGGCTCTGTTTCCCACAGGATCAAGCCACGTGTGACACAGACACGCTTGTGTCTTCCCCTGCCGCACCTGTTTGTCTTCAGTGCGGGGCGAGGGATGCTTTTTGTCCAGGGCCTGCAGTGCCCTTCCTGGGACCAAGCCAGCCAGCCAGATGATGTTGAGGGAGGTCACCGTGAAGGGGTGCTGCATGTAAGGCGAGCCCCCCCCCCCCAGGCAATGGGGCGTAGGGAGGAAGGGCTGGGAATCCCGTGCAGGCGGAATTTGGCCTGCAGGCCAGAGCATCTCTGACTGTTTTAAAGGAAGGCCTGTGCTTTTCTGCTCAAGATCGCCCTCCCCAAAGCTGCTTGTCCTTCTCATGGGAGAAATGGATTGTAACTGGGTGGGATGAAAGAAATTTTCTTGCCTCTAAGTAAAACATCCATTTTCTCTGTCCTCATGCATTAGTTTTAAAAGAGCCCCAAAGATGTCACCAAATGAATTACACTTTGGTCAATGAATCACAGAAGAATTAGTTAGAGAAGCAACTTGGTGTTTAAACCATGCAATCAACCGATCACCAGCTTTTAGCTGATACTCTGCACATGAATAACATAAATATTCGATCATGAAAGGGTCCTGTGAATGCATAGTTTCCAGGGAAACAGGTGGTTCATGGCCTCGGAAAGAATAGCCATTAACAAAGGGCAGAGAAGATCCCTGCATCTTGGGGCAGCGGATTCCTGAAATTGTAGGACCTCCACACATCCAGGAACCGCGCTCAGCAAATGTGAGGAGGAAGCGAGAGGGACAGCCAGCCCAGGCTGCGCACTTGGGGCCGTGGGCCCGAGCCCCTCTGCTCCCCGGATGCGCCCGGCTCCATGCCGAGAGTTTGTCTGGCGAGCAGCAGCCAAACCAAGCCAAGCCATGGCCGGGCAGGGCAAAGCGTGAGAGCCGGAGACCTTCTCTGCATCCCAGCCCTGGCCTGCCTGACCGTCCCAAAGGTCACCACCGGGGGTGGAGAGAAACCCAGGCGTCGGGCCAGTCAGCCCTTGCATGTCGAACGGGGAGGGGGCCATCTTATTCAGCCGCTCCCAACCTGCAGCCCTGGAGGTGTTCAGCTCCCATCATTCCCAGCCTGTGGCCATGCTGGCTGGGAATGATGGGGAAGGGAGTCCAACGCATCTGGAGGGGCCCAGGTTGTCGTTCACTTCGGGCTGCAAAACGCCCAGGGCTGCCCAGCTGGTTACCAAATCTGCTCGAGAAGCAGGTAAAGAAACGCCCCATGGGGGGGGGGGGCTGGTGGATTTAAAATCGTCTGTACTGGATTAAAAAAAGATACTCTGCCCCAGTTCACTGCTTCATGGTATCAAGAGATGGTTCGCTATTTTAAAGGCAAACATGTTTTGTCGCTGCATCGTCTCACACTGATCTTTTGCATTCATGTATCTTTCCCAGTCTGCCAAAATAGGATTTGGCCTGCTGAGCTCTGTGGAAGCACCTCTGCCAGGTTTGAAAGCTTACGCTGGCACCACATGCAGGCTTTCTGGCAGAGCATCTGGAGATTTCACAATAATCAGACAGTATATAAGAAATTATAAACAAACCAATAAATAATCAACCAGGACAGAAGGAGCTCAGCCCCAGCCACAGCCCTCTCTCCTGGATGCCTCCTCAGGCTCATGGGGAAGAGAGCACGCCTGGCGCCCGGCGCCCAGGAGCCCCTACCTTGGGTGGTTTCGCTGTCCCGGATCATGAAGGAGCCAATGGCGTTCCCAGGAGCCAGCAGGTATCGGTCGGCATCCTTCCGGCTGATGCCTTTGAAGAACCACCTGCAAGTCAAGGCCAGATGAGTGAGCAAACTCGCCCACAGCCGTTCCCTGAGCGGCTCCATCTCCAGGCGCACCCGGGCGTGGATCCCCAGTGTGCCCGTGGGTCCCAGGAAGGAATATTTGACCACGGCTTTGCATGGCCAAGGTGTTCCAGAGAGGAGACCAGCTTCGGCCCAGAGCAACCTTCCCCGAGCGGGGCATTCGCAATGTGTCAGACGACAACTTCCATCGCCCCCAGCCAGCACAGGGGGTGATGAGGGCTGTAGTCTGACACACCCGGAGGCCCCAAGAAGACTACGGGTGCTTGACCTAGTTTAAACAGCATCTTTGTAGGGACTTGCTGGAGGGGGGACAGGCGACCCCAGAGGGCGGCTGCCACCCGGGCACCTGTTTTGGCACCTCTTGCGGCCGGTCCTCAACACAGAGAATTGATCCGGGAGCCTGGCTTGGGCCTTGCGGGACTAGTGGGCGTTTCACAGAAAGCTGCCCGCTGGCTTGCCATCCGCCCTCCCCAGCGGGGACCCTTCCAGATGTTGCAGACCACCACTGGCCATGCTGGCAGGGGCTCATGGGTGCTGGGGTCCAAAATCCCAGGGCAGACCGGGTTGCAGAAGTCTGAATGGCAGGGCCTCCCCAGGGCTTCAGTCTGGGACCCTTCCCAGCCCCCCGGGGGGGCTGGGGACTTTCTGCCCTCTGGGCTTGTGGGCCAAGGCCCCTTCTTGGTTCACACAGCAGACTCGAGGGGGGCATTTATGCCATGTGTAGAAGCAGCAGCATCTTCTGGAAGAACGGGGAGCGGCAGAAGGATCCAAGTTGGAGGAAGCTGCCCCGGACCAAAGTTCTTCTCTTCTCTTGAGGTTCGTGGCCATGCAAACCTGGGTCCAAGGAAGCGGGACACACAGCTGCGCCATGGGGACGCACTCGCTCTTGCACGCCCCGGGCAGACTTACTCTTCCGTCTCCAGGGTGTTGACCCTGGCCACGTAATTGTTGGGGATGTACCCTTCGTTCCCAGTCGAGAGCAGCCTGGCCTTCCACCACTCGCCTGACCTGCGGAGAGAGAGGGGCAGACAGTGAATCGCAGCGCCCCGTGGCAGCTGCGTCTGCGTGGCAGGTCGGAAGGTGGATGCGTGGCGAGGGACCCACTGGCTCTCCCGAAGCCCTGGCCTGTTTCCAGCCTGATCTGAGGCTATGAGCTTGGACGGGGATTCATTTCACCGCCGTGCAGAGTTGAACTATGGAGTCCTTTCGCGCATGGTGTGAAGAGGGCCACTGCTCTGGGTGGCTTTAAGAGGGGCCTGACCCCCTGATGGGGCAGCTCCTGAGGACCCCGAGTCCGGAGGGCTCTGTGCTGCTTCCAGGATCGCAGGCCAGAGGCTCCTCGGTACCAGTTGCTGCCGGGAGCACCGAGGGCCCTGTGGCACTCGTGGCTTGCCCCCGGACTTCCTGCTGTGGCAACTGGCTAGCCCCCCCCAAATGGCCGGCTGAAGGCTGGGAGCCCCTGGGCCGACCCAGGGCGGCGCTCCTCCCATTCTTCTGCTTGCTGGAATACGGCCAGGGCTGCTTGTCGCCGTTGCTTTACAGCATTTCCTCCTCTCACAAGCCATCGGACTGTTTCATGACAAGCTAAGCTCTGCACCCCCCGGGACCGCGAAAGCCACTATCAGACCAGCGGGGGCAAGTGACGCGCCAGCCTGCGCCCAGAGGTGGATCCTGCGAGACGCAGCGGCGCATCCGCCTGGAAGCCGCCCTGCACCCGTGCCTGGGCAGCGGTCTGGATGAACCTCAGCAGCACACCTGCGGATCGACAGCCTTCTAAGCCACAGGCGGTCAGCCCCACGTCCCCGTGAACCCAGGGAATGGTGGCTCTGTGTTTTCGACATGTATTCCCTCGTCCCTGCTTCTTCTGCAAGGAGCCCAAGGTGCTTTCCACAGACCTCCTCCTCTGCATGTCATCTTCACAACAGCCCTGTGAGGTGGGTCAGTGATTGGCCCAAAGTCCCCAGTTCGGGGCCCAGAGCCTGGCTCTCCCAAGACCAGCACTCCAAGCCCTGCACCACACTGTCCTCAAATGCAACACCTTAGCATCATCCCCATACTTGCAGATGTGTTGCACTACAGCTCCCATCATCCCCAGCTATGCAGCGTTCCGACATCAGGAGGGAGCTGGGCCGAGAAAGGCTGCCTGCCATGGCAAATTCCCGGGATTCTTTCGAGGAAAAGACCACAGCGGAAGCCCCGCAGGGTGGGCCACGGCGAGGGGCGACTCGAGCTGCAGCGCGTATCCAGACGTGTACAGACGTGTCACCCCGGACTTGAACGAGGCCGCCTGAGAAAGCGGTCCCACGTGGGGGGGCGCTGAGCTCCACACGCCTCCATCTGTCCTCCTCCTCTTGGACTGCAGCACAAAACGCAGATGGTTCTCCCACCCGCTGACCCGAGCCGAGTTAAGCGCTTGGGGCCAGACTGTCGGCCAAGGCTGTGGCACAGACCAGAGCAAAAACGTCTTCGGAGAGCCAGTGTGAATTACAAGTGAGGATTACAGGCCTGGGGCTCAGCAGGTCCAGGTTCTGGTCCCCGCTCAGCCACGGAGGGGCCCCTTGCGGACTCTCCACCCCGTCTACCTCACAGGGCTGTTGTTGTGAGGATCAGAGGAGAGGAGAATGGTGTTAGCTGCCTTGCAAGGAACAAGGCACACTATAAATATCGTACATAAATAAAATTGGGGGGTGTGCGTGCAAAGAGGAGTAAACTTCTGCTGGATTTGCAACACGGCGTCGCTGCATTGAACTAAAAGCAGGCAAAAACAGCCCTGCGAGGTTGCCTCGAGACGCCCAAGGGACGGGGTGCTGGGCAGGGCCTGGCACTTACCTCTCCAGGACTTTGAGGTGCTCTCCCTTCTGGAAGCTCAGGTCTTCCGCATGGATGGCGTCGTAGTCATACAGGGCCACCACGAGGAAGTCCTCTGGCCGGGCGGAAGGAGACAGGAATGAGGGTGCAGCCTCAGCTATCCAGCGGGCCCCGGGAGCCGGGGGCCCCTCCGCTCGGGGGACGGGCTGGTGCCGGGCGGGCGCCCACACTGCCCTCCCCTGCAGGCGAGCTTCTCCAGGCTGCTTCTCCCTCAAACGAGAACTGTTGCTGCGGCATCGCCTGCACTTTGACGTGATCCTGCACTGGCCCTTTCATTCCTCACAAGGCCCAGGAAACCCCCCACGCAAGCCCACCTGCCGCGTTTTCTTTGCTTACAGCAAACTGGAGCACGGGGGCTCTGCTTTCGACCCAGCGGATCAGGCTGAGGTTGTGGGGAGACACGTTACCCCTTTCCTTCTTGTGCTCTTTTTCGGGTGCAAATTCCTCCCTCGCCCTCCCCAGGTAACCCTCCCCAGGTGAATCGTGCCTTCAGAAAGGGGCGGCTCGGGGAAGAGAGTCGAGCACCTTCCCTGCCCCCAGAGTCCACTTTGCCAATCAAAACTGGGTGCTGCATCTGAAGATTAAGACGAGTTCGCACAACCTGTGCGGCCCGAGCCATCCCTCCACCGGACCGGACCGGACCGGACCAGACCAGACATACCGTCATTTCCTTGGGGCTGAGGCACTCGGGGAATTTTGCTGCCCTGGGGTGGCTGGGAAAAGAATGGAAGAGAAAAGAATCACTCTGTTGTCCAACCAAGTTATCCTCGCAGAATTTTTAAACTGCACAGGCCTCTTCAGCTCTGCAGCGCACTTCCAGATGAGCTTGACTACAACTCCCACAATCCCCAAACTGGGGGATGGTGGGAGGTGTGATCCAACTCCTCCGGAGGGCGGGCTGTTCTGTGGCTCCTGCACTCATCACGGCAAGGGCGCTGGGATGATATGCAGCTGTGTGTGGTCCAGAGCTACAGCTTGTTCAGTTGTTGGAAAGGGGACGGACTTCTGGGGGTTGGACTGCACAGCATCTGCAGGGCACCACGTTACAGAAGGGTGCTGTACATGGTCAGAGGCACTCTTGTTGAGCAGGATTTTTTACAGCTCCCTCCTGAACGGGACAACTTCTGGAGCTGAGACCTGCTTCGTACCAAGGCCTGTTCCACAGGCAAGGAGGAAACACCAGAGCCTCCCACCGGTTCTGGCCTTGCTGGTGGGGAAGGATGGGGGATGTAATCCAACACTTCTGAAGGGCAGTAGGTTGGAGCACAGTTCAGTCAGGATGCCGATGACCCTCCAGTCTCAGACGGGACGGCCATCTCCACCTCCGCGCCCCCTCCGCTTTTGGCTGCATGGCTGAGGCACTCCAGAAGGGGAGTGGCGAGAGGCGAGCACCCTGGGGTTGCATCGCAGACCCTCTCTCCCTCCTCCGAGGTCACCCTCGCAACCTCGGAGAAGCAGCCGGCAAAGTTCCACGCATGCCGGGCAATCCAAGTGCCGATTCCCAGCTCTGGCTGGAGGTCTTCCCGTGCTCAGTGCCGGGGAGACCGTACGACCCCTTAGCTGGCTCTCTCTTACTCTCTGTGGATTACGTTATGCTTGGAGAAATCGCCCCACCCTTCCGGCAAGAGACCCCCCTGCCGCTGCACCCGGCGAAGGACCGCTCCTTCAGTCCCCTCTCCCGTCGCTGGACTTACTCTCTTGATCGTGGGGTCTGTCACGTAGTGGCCATCGACACCGGTGCCTGAATTCGTCCTGGACACCTTTCCATGCATGCCCAGCTCTTTGGACTTTAAGCAGCCCATTCTGGGAGGAGAGAAAGGGAAGAGAGAGAGCGATTCCTGAAACCAGAATCTGGGGGAAAGAAGAAACTACTCACGGCACGTTCATTTCATCCATGCTGCCGACAGGACCTCACTGAGTTCTCTGCCCAGAAAAATTGCCACCCAGGGCCTAGAGGGCCAAAGCTTTGGTTTTACTCCCCTGCTTTTTCAGTGGTGCATTAAGACACTCCCTCCCACTGCAGCCCCCGATCTCGGCTCTGAGCGGAACAGTGGTAGCTCGGCTGCCCCAGCAGCATCCCTGGATAAGACTGGAAAACCCCCTGCCTGGAACTCTGGAGAACCTCTGCTGCCAGCCCACCTTGGCACTCCGGGGCCAGAGGGGCCAGGGGTCTGCCTGCCGCCACTTATATTCCACCAGGGTGATGTTTCCCAAGGTATCTTTGCCCCCCCCCCCCCAGCAGCCCTGCGGAGTCCCCTTTGTCATTCCAGCTAACGCAGGCGTGTCCGACATCTTCCGGAGGGGCGAGTTACATGCTCCAGTGGCAGGGGGCTCAGTCTTCCCCAACCTGGAGCCCCCAGCTGCGTTGGACTACAACTCCCATCTCCCCAGCCAGCATGGCTATGATGGGAGCTGCAATCCAACAGCAGGCCGGCCATTTACAGCTGACGGAACGAACAGAATTGCGCTTTGGACTTGAACGGCCAGCAGCATCTTGGGCAGGGCGGGGCTGGGCTGGGGTCTCCCCAGAGGTCTGTTGTGGGAACAGCTCCTTTCAACCCGCTGGGGGTGTCCAGCTTCCCACCCCCACTCATGTTCCAACTGCTCCTCTGGAAAGAAACACAAATATAAGGAAACCCAGCCCTGTTTCAGCGCTCCTTCCAAAGCGATCCAAACCCAGGCAAGGGCTTGGCCCCCAGGACTTCTCACCGCACTGAGCATTTTACCCCTGGAACTGGGGCCAAGATGGCTTGCTGAATTCTCCTGAACTTGGCTTCGAGAAATATCGCCGTCTGCCGCCAACGCAGTGGCTGGGCGTGCACCGTAAGTCCGCACTTGGAGCTGCGCAGGGTGGTTAAAATGCCAGAGGCCTCGCAACGAGCCCAAGCAGACCATCGGGCGCAGTGTGGGTGGGTTACGGGCCGCTTCCCCCAGTCCTCGCAGGAGCACCCCGGGAGCACTGGGGCTTCGCTCCCTCTACCCACAAGCCGTGGACAGCAGCAAGGCAGGCTGATGCGAGGCGGCGAGGTCTGCGAGACAGGGAGAAGGGGCTCCCTTCGGTGTGCGGCTTCGATGCAACGTGCTCCGCCTGCTTGCTAACTCACACATTTAGCCACTGCGCTGACAGCTGTCAAATCCCTCCACATTTCCTGCAAAGCCCCCGTCCATGCTCTCTTGCCGCCCAAAGCAGGCTCTGCGGAGAGAGCTTTCTTGCAAACGCCACTCAGATATCTAACTTATTAGCGTGCGTCGTCAGCCAGAGAGGAAGCAAGCAGTCTCAAGAGATGCCGGCGGGCGACCGGGTGATTAAACCCTGCAGGCGCGTTTTTACTGTCCGCCAGAGCCCATCGGCTGCGGCCTTTCCCTCCGTGTGTCTACAAACCCGCAGTGCAAAAACCGGCACATCTGTATCTGCTTTGCATCTGAGCAGCTATATTTTCTTATCTCCATGCAACCCGAACAATGACATTTTGAAAGTTTCAAATTCACGCTCCATCCATGCTATGCAAGCATTGTTAGCACAGGCAAAGCAAGATTAAAAACAAAACAGAAACACCTTTCGACAAAGAGGAAACAGGCGGTGCTCCCACAAATGTTCTTAGCAAGGACGTGGTGCAGGCAGGACAGTTATTTTTCTCATAAATGACCAGCACTGCCAACACTCCAGCTTTGCCAAGCGAGTGAGGAATCTGGGATTGAAATCCAACCCCTTCGCACAGAGAAACATAGCACTTCAGGCATCTCTCCGATGCCTTATTATTTTGGATAAGAAGGCAGGTATTCATTGCACTTAATTTTAATAAACAGGGGAGGTATTCAGTCATGCAAAGGTATGTCCAGAAGTGCTGTAGTCTAACAAGGGCTGTGCCGCATGATCCTGGAACTCTGCCCATCCAGACAGGGGTTATGATCTTGGGATGTCAAACCAGCTTTGAGTTTGCATTGTGCAAATAGGGTGTTTACTGACGTACATGGTGTTCCGTGGAGTTTCAGCCACATATGCAATGTGCCACTAGGGATGTTTACTCAGAACTAAGTCCCAGTCCAAATGTGGCTTGCTTATTTATTTATTAGATTTATATCCCGCTTTCTTCTTATAACAACCTCAACACAGCTTACATCAGTCTTTTGCTGCTTATCCTCACAACAACAACCCTGTGAAGTAGGTTGGGATGAGAGTCTGTGACTGGCCCAAAGTTACCCAGTTGGTTCCATGGCTGAGCGGGGACTCGAACCCGGGGCATCTGTGTCCCAGTCCCACTCTCTTCACCACCACACTGGCTCCTGGGACTGCAGCCACAATAACCACATGGATCATGGTTCGTACACCTGAGACCCCACCATCCTGTTCCGGTGCACACAACCACTGGCCAGGGATTCTTGAGAGGGTCTTGCATCTTTGGACACCCACTGAGCGCTCCACAATGAGAAGGTTTTTGAGGGGAAGCTCTTTCAAAACCCCAAGCTGTTGGCAGGGTGGCCTCGGGGCTGCCGTGTAGGCACTGCGGGCCACTGGATGCGTGGAACGCCGGGCCAGCTGTCCCTTGCGTCTGACGCAGCACTTTCTTGCTTTGGGCTGTAGCACAGAACCCAGGATCCTGGCACAAAACCAGTGCAAGCCTTGGGCACCGTTTTGGAGGCAATCTGAGTGTGAGTGCGTGCGATGGGGGTGGGTGACCATTTCCCACAACTTTACCCCTGGCAAAGTCATTTTCGCACTTTGGGTGGTGGCATAAAACTTGCGATTTGTGGCACAAGGCAGGCGCAGAACTTGGCACAGGTTTGAGAGTGGTGTGTGAACGTGGGTCTGGCCGTGTGTTAACTTTGTTGTTAGTTGCAAAGTCGTGTCTGACCCATCACGACCCCATGGACAACATTCCTCCAGGCCTTCCTGTCCTCCACCATCCCCTGGAGTCCACCTGAGCTCACACCCACTGCTTCAGGGACTCCAGCCAGCCACCTCATCCTCTGCCGCCCCCTCCTTCTTCTGCCATCAATTGTTCCCAGCATCAGGGGCTTCTCCAGGGAGTCCTTCCCTCTCATGAGGTGGCCAAAGCATTTGAGCTTCATCTTCAGCATCTGGCCTCCTAAAGAGCAGTCAGGGTCGCTCTCCTCCAGGACTGACTGGTTGGGTCGCCTTGCGGTCCAAGGGACTCGCAGAGTCTCCTCCAGCACCACAATTCAAATCCACATTTGATATTTCAGTCACACTGAGACGGGGTGACAGCACAAACCACAGCGCTTGCAGAACAAAACTTTGCTATATGTCTGGAGGAGTTCTTAGAGTCGGGAGTATGTCGTTCCACAGGGCCATCCTTCCCAGTTTGACTGGCGGGGAAAGATGGCAGTTGCGGTCCAACAGGTTTTTAGAACTCTTTGGAAGGCTGCCCTGGGATTAGACAAAAACCAAAAAGCCGGGGGATCTTAGCGAATACAGGATGTAATAGCTCCTCTCTCCTTCAAGCTGCTTCAGCCTGTCCACCCAGACCAAGCCAGCTGAGCCAAGAACCACCCGACTATACCGCAGAGGATTCTGGGATGTACGCCAGGTGCACGCGCAGGGCAGGGCAGCGCCAGGTGAGCCTGCTGAAATTCATTGTGACCTGGCTTTGTGCCAGGCAGGGGGAGCCCAGGAGTGGTGGGCAGGTGGTCCTCAGGGAAAGAGCCCCCCACCCTTTGAGTGCAATCTTTGAGAACATGAACTCTGACGCCTTCTAGCGACCACTTTTGAGATCCCATGGTTCCATCGAGAAAGCTCAAGGCAAAGGGAAGGGCTGTAGCAGCCCAGTGGTACAGCCCCTGCTCGGAGGTTGACTGTCCCAGTTTTGGTTCCCAGTGGCATCTGCAGGCAGGGCCCAGCATGACTCCGGCCCCAAGCCCCAGAAAGCCAACACTGCCGGCCTGTGTCGACGGCACTGGGCTGCCTGGACCAAGGGGCTGGCTCCAGCATGGATCGTGCCCTCAGCTGCTCTGTCCTCACAGCAGCCCTGTGAGGTAGGCCAGTCTGCGGGGTCATGGCTGGTCAGCACAGGCCCAGCAGCCTTGAGCGGCGTCCCCCAGCCTGACCCATACGCTGCACCGCCTCTGAGCAGGCAGGCGCCTGGGAGGCAACTGAGAACCAGGAGGCTCAGTTCCTAGTTCCTGGGATTTCCCCCTTAGCCCCTTCCGCATAAAGCGCCCTCCTCAGGGCCCTCGGAGCAAGACCAGAGAGCGCGCAGAAGGGCTGCGCCTTTCCGCTCTGAATCAGCAAGGAAGCGGCAGGAGCGGGTTGTGGCCTCGGGGAGGGGAAACTGGCGGAGGCGCCTGGCCGGCATCTGTCGCCATGACACTGGATGAGCAGAAGGGAGAGCCATTTCCCCAGGCACCCGCGGCAGGCGGCGGTTCCGTAAAACTGGGGGCATGTCGTGCTCTGGCCTCCCCAACACGCATGCGCTGCCCGGTCCCCCAGGGACCGTCCACTGGCCACGTCCAGAGACCCTGCCAGCGGGGCAAGACCATTAGTCAGCCCCAGCAAAAATAAAAGCCAGTGTGGTGTCGTGGTGAAGAGCGTTGGACTGGGACTCGGGCGATCCGGGTTCTAGTCCCGCTCAGCCATGGAGCCCACTGGGTGACTTTGGGCCAGTCACAGACTCTCAGCCCAGCCTACCTCACAGGGTTGTTGTTGTGGGGATAAGATGGAGCAGGAGAGATGATGTCAGCTGCCTTGAGCCCTTTGTAGGAAAAAGGCAGGATATAAATCGGGAAGACCGCCAGAAAAGCCCTGCTGGATCTCTTTGCACAGCAGACAACCAACTGCCCACACG